TTGTTCTTTATAACTAAATTATGGGAACTTTCGTACTTTTACTGATTACCTTTGTATTGATTTTTTTGCCTCACGGATCATGTTATACTGCAAATGTTAATCACTACCTAAAATGAAAATATAAAAACCTGCTTGTACTCGCAATAAATGGAACAGAGCTTCACTGTCCTTTGAGGTGTGATGTCATCTGTTACCCAGCGCTGACGCCTACCCTCACCTGTGGGACCCCTTGACCCACTGCGGCCGGACCGTGGCAAATATCAATGTCTGGTTGCCTCTGGTGCATCCCCTGCTGGGAACTGGCCTACAACCCAGGCATGTGCCCTGACCCAGGAATCCAACCCCGATCCTTTGGTTTGCAGGCCCGCACTCAATCCACTGAGCTACACCAGCCAGCCAGGGCCCATTTATTTTTGAGGATCTTCAACTTTAACATATTAATAGGGGATTCCTAATAGTGGGAATATCTGCATAACTCAAAGACTCAAATCCCTCATGGTCAAATTTGAGGTCAGTCGGAAGGAGCTGTTTCTAGAGTAGATGGCATGATGGGATGACTTCAGAAATACCGCAGTGGCTGAATTCAGGAGCATCTGTCTGGTGTCCCCAGGCTCCTGGGAAGCCGCATGAAAAAAACTAAAGTTGTTTTAGAGCCACCGGCCAGCTTTTCCTTCACTGCTGCTAGCGAGCAGTCGTGAACACCGTGTGGAGCCAGCAGGCTGTTCAATGATGCCTGATGGCCCGGACTGCGGTTCAGAACGAAGCCCCCTCCCCCGCATCACACTGCAGGGGCTTGAAGCCTCACCTCCCCCTTTTCTAGGACCCGGCTGCTTCCTGCTGGGGCTAATGTCAGTCCCCTTCTTACCACCAGATGGCAGTCAAAGCCAGGCTGCAATAAGTCAGGCGGGGAGACAAATACCATGTGATCTCACCTCCAAAAAGAATCTGAGGAGCAAAATAAACAAGCAAAATAGAACCAGAGGCGTAGAGCTGAGGAACAGACTGGCAGCGGCCAGAGGGGAGGCGGGAGGGGGCGATAGGTGGAAAGAACGGGAAGGGACTGGTCAAAGAACAGGTATGAATGAGCCAGGGGCACAGGCAACCGTGTGGGGCTTGTCTGGGGGAGCGGGGGAGGGGGGCGGAGGGGGATGGGTGGAGGAGAGCAAAGGGGGAAAACTTGGGACAATGATAAGCAGCAATAAAATATATATCTTAAGAAAGAAAGAAAAAGCAGGATGCAGGGAGAAGGACCAAGAACGAAGGAAGAGGGTGTGAGGTCAGACATTAGCTCCGCACGGATGGTGCTCCCACCCGCCACGTTGCACCTTCACCCTGGTGGGGGGTGGGGGGTGACTGGGACTGTGACTGTGAGCCGGGAACCGCCTAATGCAAGGGGTGGACATGCCCCAAGTAACATGAACTTGTTAGAAATCCAGTATTTTCCTTTAACAGTGGGAATGGAGGAAGCAAAGGGGGAAGTTGTGGAGAGCAAAGAACTCGCCCCCACTCTCCCCCTCCGATTCCCTCCCCTTGTGAAGACCCCCACCCGAAGCCAGGAAGACAGCCCTCCCCCGAGTCCCAGCCCTTTATGGTGAGCCGGTAATCTAGTAAGCAAACTGTTTTTCTGAGGCTGTGAGCCACCTTAATAAATTGTTGAACCTGGAGAATTGGTCAGTGTGGGCACCAGCCCCACCTCCAGTCCGGTGTCAGAAGAGTTGAAGGTAGAGGAGAAAAAGTTTTCCCTTCTGTTACAGAGCAGCGGTCCAAGGGGGGGGAGCAATATTTGGCCCACCCAGGGATGCCAAAAAAACCCACAACAACCCTGTTAAAGAACAGACACACGGACTTCTGCCAAGATGGAGGCATAGGTGGATGTGCCGTGCCTTCTCACACAACCAAGTTTAGGGACAACTAAATATTAGCAACACAAAACACAGCCAGAATACGGAAAATTGAACTTTTCGGAAGTCCGTTAACAACAAATTCTGCAGCCTGACTGGTAAGGGGCGAAACCAGTGGCTGGTGGAACGGGATTGCACGGGAGGACTCGGTCAGACGGGCTCAGGCGCGGAATCCAGACGCGGAATCCAGGCGCAGGGTTGGACCTAGTGAGCGACCGAGTGAGTGACCAGGCGAGCGACCGCGGAGGAGACAGCGGGGAAGCGGTGTTGCGTGTTGACTGGGGTCGCCTATTTGTGCGAGAGTGGACAGGCGAGGGAGTGGGCGGTTGGACCGGGCCCGGCGTCCCCGCGGCAAGCGGCAGTGGAGGGCGCCGCCATTTCCCCGCTCTGACCACGCCCCCACATACAGCGTCACAACCCAGCGACCTGGGAGTCCAAGGCGCCGCTTCTCACACTTAAAGGGCCAGAACAGACCAAAAATGTCGCAAATTCTCAAAATCCCTGAGCCCATAGACCTAAGCGATGAAGAAATAGCAAAACTCTCAGACGCACAGTTTAAAACACTGGTCATCAGGATCCTCACAGAACTGGTTGATTATAGCCACAAATTAGAGAAACATATGAAGGCGAAACTAATTGAAATGAATGGAATTGCACAGGAAACCAATAACGATGAAAAGGAAACTGGGACTCAAATCAATGGAGTGGACTAGAAGAAAGCAAATAATGGCCAAACAGAAAAGAGTCAAGGAGCAAGAATTCAAAGAAATGAGGAGAGTCTTAGGAACCTCCAGGACATCTTTAAACGCTCCAACATCCGAATTATAGGGGTACCAGAAGGGGGAAAGGCACAGCCACCAGTGGAAAACTTATTTGCACAAATAATAAAGGAAAATTTCCTCAATTTGGCAAAGGAAATAGACTTCCAGGAAATCCAGGAAGCTCAGAGAGTACCAAAGAAGTTGGACCCAAGAAGGAACACACCAAGGCACATCATAATTACATTAGCCAAAATTAAAATGAAGGAGAGAATCCTAGAAGCAGCAAGAGCTAAGGGGACAGTCACCTACAAAGGAGTCCCCATCAGACTGTCAGCAGATTTCTCAAAAGAGACCTTACAGGCAAGAAGGGGCTGGAAAGAGGTATTCCAAGTCATGAAATCCAAAGACCTACAACCAAGATTGCTCTATCCAGCAAAACTTTCATTTAGAATGGAAGGACAGATAAGGTGCTTCTCAGATAAGATCAAATTCAAGGAGTTCATCATCACCAAGCCCTTATTATATGAAATGTTAAAGGGACTTAGCTAAGAAAAAGAAGTTAAAGAAACATGAACAGTGAAAGGACAACAAACTCACAGTTATTAACAACCACACCTAAAACGAAAGCAAACTAAAAGGACAGCTAGATCAGGAGTGGAGACATAGAAATGAAGATCTCAAGGAGGGTTAGCAACAGGGGAGTGGGAGGAGGAGATGGGGGAGAAGGTACAGAAAATAAGTAGCATAGACAGTAGATAGAAAATAGACGGGGGGGGCAAGAATAGCATGGGAAATATAGAATCTAAAGGACTGGAGACACATGGTCATAAACTAAAGGGGGGGTAATGGTGGGGATGGGGGGTAGGGTGGAGGGGAATGAAGGGGGGAATAGAACAACTGTAACAGCATAATCAATTAAAAAAAAAAAAAAAAAAGAACAGACACACTGGGGCCGGGCTCCAGAGGATGGTATACTGATACCGTCCAGACCCCCCTACTGGGCCTGATCATCTGCCGCTGATTGGAAAGACATCTCTCAATGCCAGAGATTTTTGAAAAGGAAACAAAATGTTTATTTAATGCTATTCAGGCCTAATGCTTTCATTAAAATATCAAAGTCCCTTAGGGTATACACACACACACACACACACACACACACACACAGCGCTCCCTTCTCCCCCTGTCCTAACTCCAGGTACCGTAAATCAGGAAAAGAGCACACGTCCGTTTTTCCCAGGCCGTTAGCATCGTCAGCTATGTGGCCGCCCAGGCAGGATCTCCAATTAATCCAAAGTCATGTGGCACCTTCTCACGGTCCACTGGCAAGAGTTCTTTGTACCCATTTTTCCAGGCAAAGTCTCTCCTGCTTCCCAGGCCATGGTGGCCACAGGGAGCACCCCAAAGCCGTGTAGGCCTCTTCTACCAAAGCTGCAGGGGCCTGCACTCCACCAAAAGCGCGTGTCTTTCTCCTTCACCTGCTGCAGGGATCTCCATTCTGGCAAAGCTGCGTGGTTTTCCCTTTCGCCTGGGAAAGAGGGGGTCTGCACTCTGTCCAAAACTGCATGGCTCTCCCTCAATGGCTGCCACGTCTGGGTTAAAATCCCCGTGCCAATCTTCCTCTGTACCCCCAATTCCGACTCCTCCCACGATCAGTTACACCTGCCAGTATTTCTGTATTATTACAAGTTTACTGGGCTGCCATTGTTAGTCTGGGCAGGTGTGGCCCCGTGTCCTAGAGCCAATCTTCTCCAAGCTCCCACGCAGGCGCTGTAACTTGAGGGACCCGCCCCCAGTTACATCTTGGCGGGGAAGTGACTTCATCCCCCTAGCTCCAAGCCTGGCCACAGCCATTTAACATATCCAAGTGACCTGCCAAAGGCTATAGATATGTTAAATGACCAGGCCATGGATTAGCTGCAAGGCTGTGGCTGTACAAAACAGCCCTGCATGTTCCTGCTCAGTGTGTCCCTTCCCCCAACTCACACCTGTGGAGGAAGGGGTGAGGACATCTTATATGTCTCTCCAATATTCCTATACACTTTGAGTTCTGGGCACCATTCCAAATCTTTTTTGGGGCCCCCACCCTTGGCTGCACCCTGTATCACTTCCACATGTGACTTGCCTTCCTGGGACGCAGACTGGGCTGGCGTGGAGCAGCTGTGGACCTGGTGGGGTGGGGACAGACCGGGTGGGGAGGAGAAGCTGGTTCCCCAAGAGGCCCAGCCCCCCTAAGCTGCTCACTGCTATCCTGCACCCCCCAACACACACACTGCGAGACTGGTAACTGCCAAACAAATCTCCACCAATTTAGCGGCCTCAAACAAGGCAAGTTCTTTACCTCACAGTTCGGTAGGTCAGAGCCCAGCAGCCTGTCTGGTCGCACTGCTGTGGGTCCCACAAGTCCAGCTGGAAGCTCTGGGTTTCCGGGCTGTTGGAGGAGCCGGTTCCACGTGATTGCAGGGCGGAGGTCCCCGTTCTGGGGCCGGCTGTCTGCTGGGGTTGCTCTCAGCCCCCAGAGGCCTCCCGGGTTCCCTGGCTCGTGGTTCCGCCTGGCCTCTCCAACTGCAGGTGCAGAAAGGGCTGCTGTGATTAGATTGGGTCGAAAAATCCCGGGTAATCTCCCCTCTTGAGACCATTAATCACACCTGCAAGTGCCTTTTGCCAGGTAAGTAACACAGTGGCAGGTTCCAGGGTTAGGGTGTGGACGTCCTTGAAGGGGCTACCGTTCTGCCTGACCCACCCCCCTCTTGCTTCCCCAGGTCTGCTGCGGCTTTGGTGGCACTGCCTCTCCCACTGTCAGAGCTCGAGGTGGTCACCTGCTGTCTCACTCTCCCGTGATTCTGGCCTTTCTCTCCCCTTCTCCTGGTGATGACCTCGAGCTCCATCAGTGAAGCCTTGGTCCTCAGAACATAAGAAGCTGTCCTGGCGATTCCCAGTCTCGCCCCGCAGCGAGGGGACTGTGGCTTGGCCTTGGTGCCTCTCTGAGGTGCTCCATCCAGGGAGAGCACACAGGGTGCCACCGGCCCCCTCGGTTGGGCTGGGTCACTAGGATCCCCGCGTCTCGCTTCTCCTTCAGCCCAAGTCCGCAGCCCCTCTGGGTGGAGGCAGGCCAGCTCCCGCGGGGAGAGCTTTCTTCTGCTCTCCCTGCCTTGGCGCTCATCTCAGGCACTGATGAACTAGAGCTGAAGCAACAGCATTTCACCTGCTCAGATGTGACCAAACGCAGCAGGAAAGGCCTCAGGTCAGAGCCACCGTGGCTCCGCAGCACACGGGCCCCGGAAAGTCCACGAGTTCTCTCCATCAGTGGTCTCGTCTGTGTTCTGCCCATCACACTCCCCCCAAACTCCCCTGGGCCATTGGCCACCAGCCACATGGCCCTGCTTCTGACTCGCTTTGCTTTGATGTAAGCAGGCCCTCATTGCCAGGGTAACCGGGAGGGGCTGATGGGCCTGGGTTCCTGACTGTTAACCTTTTTGTTTGGATATCCTTGGTCTGTTCTTGGTTCCTTTGGCTTTGTGGCCGTGAGGGACCACGCCCTCCAGGTGTCTGCCCTCCGTTCTCCTTATTCTGCTGTTCTCTTTCTCTGAAGTCTGCCTGGGCTGCACATTTTCTCTGGAACTTCTGGTTTTTACCAGCCTCGTTCTCCCTTTGCTTTTGATCTGGCAGAAACACTACGTGAATGGAGCCGTCTGCCTCACACCGCCTGCCGCGTCCGGCTGTCCTGTGTGTGCCGTGATGGGGCCGTCGGTCTGGTGGGTGGCAGCCAGCCCCCCTTCGATCACAGAGTTCCCCACCTGCAACTCATCGAATGGTTTCATGCACTGATGATCTCGGCCCAAATCATGTATTTCATCAGGAGTTAGTTGCACAGTGGTGGTTTCTAATCTGTCATCCTTTAAGTAGAATTAAGTTAAAAGTTGTTTTCCCTCTCAGTTCCCGCTGTCTGTATTCTCTGTAACACTGTTCGGACAGGAAAGGCGAAGGTCTGTGGTTCCCTACTCAGTGCTGTTAGTTGCTGTTGTTTGAAGAAAGGGTTGGTGCCCTGGTTTCCTCCAGCGATGACCGGTGACTGCGTGTTTCTGGGTCACCTCGAAGTCTTTCTTCCCTTTGCTCTTAAGGAACTTAAATACATACTGAATGCTGAGAAAACATCGGTAAAAATTAAAAAAAAAAAAGACCCAATGGTCCCTTCCTGCTTTTGAGGTGCTGTGGGATGTTCGATTTATTCATCCTGGCCTCAGTGCGCTACACACTTGTCACTGAGCACATGGCTGTGAACTGCCCTTCATTTTTGTTTGAGGTTAACAGGTGTGTCCTGGTTCCTTCCTCTGGGTACACTTATGCCCTGTGAGGAAGGGACAGTCTTGTATTTTCCTATCTATGTACCTAGGGCAAGTTTGGACGTCTAGAAGGGTATGGTACCAAGGCGTAGGCTGAGTAGATGTTAACCTGGGGTGGTCACTCTTTCAGTCTTGAACCCCAAGTCATAGCTATTTTCTTGGGTCTTCTTCTAGACAGGCATCGAGGTAGATGCCAATAGCACCTCAGTGACACCAGCTGGGTGTTTCACAATGCCATCCAACCTGACCCTCCGCGGAGGGAGTGCAGACCCCACAGTGAAACGGCAAGGCACCAACAAGACTGTCCGCACTTCAGAGGCCAGCTGCAAGCGGGGTCCCCAGACTACTTGTATTTCTAGCTGGGCTACAAATTCAAGTTCCGTAAGTCCCTAGAAGGACTCATACAACTCAGGAGAGCGTTACACCTGCAATTACCGCTTTGTTATACAGGACACAGGGGGACAGCGAGGGGACAAGGCAGGCACACAGGCAGGCGAGGTCCGGAAGAGTCTCGAGCACAGACAATTCTACCCCCATGGAGTCAGGAGGAGCCGTCCTGACAATACATTGGCGTCTCTGCCAACCGGGAGGCTCCGGCGCCTGGATGTCCCCACCTTTCAGCGGTTTTCATCACAGAGGCACGACTGATGCTGTCCTTGGCCACACACTCGAGCTCAGTCTCCAGGCCCCTCTCTGCTTGGGAGGAGTTCATCTGTCTAATCACATGCTTGGCATTGCTAACCCACGTCACCGGTAGGATCGGCTGGGTCCGAGATCACAGGCCTGGGGCGGAGAGGCGGGAAGGCGTTAGAGGCAATGCTGCCTAGAACCAGGGGTCTCAGCGTGGGGGTCCCGTTCTCCTCTCGGCACTAAAACGGCGTTTCCTTATCGCTCAGATGACAGGGACTGACAGGTATCAATTATGTGCAAGGTAATTTCCTAGAATTAAATGAACAAATGTTTTGAAAGACGGTGATTGGTGGAGGCAGGAAGGCATCCTGCAGACATCCTCTCCACGCCAGGCCAACCGGACGACCACGCGTCTAACTGAACCGAAAGCGTGATGTGGCTGAGTGGGCCACGCCCACGGGCGGCAACCGGGCACCTTGCTCTTTCTTCTCTACGCTTTCTCCGCACGCCTCTCTGTCCTCCCTTTCCTTTCCTTTTTCCTCTGTTGTTTTTGTCCCTTGCTGGTGGCGCTGGGCAGACACCTAAGGTTCCTTCTGATCCTTTAAGGATAAAGGTGTTACGGGCTGCAGGTCTGACAGGGTAGATCAAACCTGACTTCATCAGAAGCCTGCAGGATACATCGGTGACGTCGTCATGAGTGTCACCAAATGAGTGACATCGTTGCTTCTCAGGGACACGCTGGCAACACTCCTTAGACCTGCTGAGGAATCCACACTTTTCCTTCCGACCTAGAGAGATGAAGGCCATGCAGAGCCCGGAGCCCCAGTCCTTGCTTCTCTGTCCCTTCCCGATGACATTTTCTCCTGCCTCCCTGGGGCTTTATCCCTGGAGACTTTGGGAGGTTCTGCCGGTCAGCACCCCACCCCACAGCCCCCATTTCGCAGGGGGAGGAGAATCCATGTCGCCGAGATAGTGTTGCAGGGACTCAGGCTAAGAAAAGGAGGGGGGGGTGTTCAGGGCACCTGGTTTTCTGGATCTGGGTCAGTAGGAAGTCCTTCACAGTCTGGTTGTCAAAGTTGTAATTGACCTTCCAGAAGATACAGAGCTGCTGATACTGTGTGACCAACTCCAGGACCGTCCGGAAACCTTCGGCCGTGTCGAAATCTGCTGCCCTGCTCCCCTGCTCCCAGGCGTAGATGGTGAGCAGCTCCAAGGCATACTTGGGGGGCAGAGACCCCTTTTCTTTCAGTTTCCTTGCACACTGAAGGAGGAGGGGGGTTGACAGGTGACACTGGTCAAGGCAGGGGGCACACACTGTGCATTAAGGACTCCCGGAGTCATAGCAGGGCCCCCGAGTCCCACGTGGGGTGGGACTGCTCTGGGAGGCCTGGGCAGTGCAGGGTTGCAGGTGGTCACTTGCAGGGCCGTAGGCAGCCCACGCAGGTTTCTTAGCTGTGCTCTGGCCATTGATGAGTTCTTAGAGCCACACTCTGGCTAGCCCTTCCCAACGAACCACTGCGTGCCAATTATGGGGCCAGGCATGCTACCCCATCCTAACCTTCCCAACCACCCTACGAGACAGGCATTATGGTGGCCATTTTCGATGAAGCCACAGGGCTTGGGGAAGTGAAGCGATCTTGTCTGGGTCACCCTGCAGCCCTGAGCCCTCAGAGCACCCTGGGGCTGGGTGTGGGGGGACGTCTCTGATGTCCTGGGATGGGAACCACAGAGCTCAGTCTTTATCCTAGGCTGCAGGGATTGGACACAGAAAGGAGACACGTCAGGCAAGAGCTGACATCGTGTTGGGTGTTCGCGGTCGTGGAAACACTCAGAAACTACCCTGCATGCGAGACATGAAGTAAAGGCGGACTAAACAGTCTTCGAGAAAATGCAGCCACTGGCACCACCTGCAGCCGCAACCTGACTTCCAGGAGATTAGCACCGCTGTCTGGGTGCCCAGCAGCAGGAGAGTCAGGCTGGCGACTTGCAGGCAAGCAAAGCCTGATGTCATCAGCCCTTCGCAGGCTGGGTAACTTGAGATTTCTGCAGGATTCCTTGGGTGTCCGAGCAAGGGCATAAATAAACGCCAGGTGGCAGCTTTGACGGTAGGAGGCGCTCTACACCCGACACAGCTTAACGGGGTTAGCGAGGCACAGCCCCCACAGCGATCCTCAGGGTGGAGATGGGACAGATTCCCTACGGGCAGCCCAGCCCCCAGCGTGGGAGGGTGTGGGCACCCGGAGCTCCTGGCAACTGCTGCTTTCCCCAGACCAGTACGTACCTGTTTGTACCAGTGCTTCACCAGGCGAATCAAGTCCTTCAGTTTGGTGGGCCGGGAGAGAACGAAGTCACGCTGCAGCTCCGTGAAACAGGGCGAAAATTCTCCCCCCACCAGGTCGAGGCGTTTGTACAGAGAGATGAGGTCAGTGTAGACCCTGGGGTGGGGTCTAACGCCAGCATGCACTTGACCTAGCATGAGGGAGGCATATTTACCTTATGCCTTCATATGTACAGAAAGTAAACAGCTTTCAAAACATTTTTTGACAAATGTAATTCTGAGAAATTCCGTTGAATTCTATTACTGTATGCCTAAGATATTGGGAGCATCACTAGGATACTGAAGTACTTAAAGGATAGGGTCTATGTGAGTACCAGTGGTGTTATTAAAATATTATCTGGTTTTGCACTGTCCAGTGTGGTGGCTGTCAGCCAGTGGGGCTGTTTGCAGTCAAATTAATGGAAGGGAAATCAAATTAAAAATGTAACTTCTCAGTTGCACTAGCCCCACCTCAAGCTCTCACTAGATATAGTGCAGAGGTATAGAATATTCCTACACCACAGAAAGACCTTTTGGACAATGCTGGACAAGAGTTTGCTAACTATGGCCCGCAGGCTAAATGCAGCCCACTGCTTGTTGTTGTAAATAAAGTTTTATTAAAACTGTCATCTCCTGTGCCAATGTGTTATCTATGGCTGCTTTCAGGCTACAATGGCAGAGTTGTGTAGTTGTGACAGAGACCGTCTGACACTGCGTGAGAGCAAGCTGGGAGTCCTGGACGTCTTGGGACACTTGAGTGAGGAAGGAAAATGTATACAGGTGTCAGGTGCAGTAAGTGTCTCCTTATTCATGGGGGACACACCCTGAGACACCATACACGCTATGTATGTTCTTATACATGCAGACTCTGCTTCTCTGGTGTCTGAATTGTCAGCATCGCTACTCTTGTGCTTTGGGGATGTTCCTGAGTAAAACAAGGGTGGCCTGAACACAAGCACTGTGACACTATGGCAGTCAGTCTGATGACCTGGGTGGCTACTACCTGGGTGGCTACTAGGTGACCAGTGGGCGGGGAGCAGATACAGTGTGCAAATACCAGACAGAGGGAGGAGTCACAGCCTAGGCTGGACGCTGCATATTTCATCACGCTGTTCAGAACGTGATGCAATTTAAAACTTATGCGTTACTTACTTCTGGAATTTTCCGTTTCATTTCTTCCCACCACAGTTGATCACAGCTAACTGAAATCGTGGAGAGCGAAAGCCTGGGTTAAGGCCGGAGGCTCCTGTATTGCTGCTATTATTAATGCCACCTGCTGGGGGCGCTGGAGCCACGGCCGATTGTGAAGTGGCTTTGCCTCCTCCAGCCCGTGTCCCTATCGGTCCTGCTCCAGGGGCTCAGGCGTGGGGAGTCCCACCTGGCGCGTGGGGAGTCTCACCTAGCGCGTTATATGCGGGCAGCACGTGGAAGTCGACGCTGTCGCTGAATTCTTTGGATTTGAGGGAGAAGCTCAGCACCTTGGGAGCATTCCATTTAGAAATCTCAAACTTCACTTCAAACTTCTGCTCGCGGGCTTCTCGCCGCTGAAAGGCTTCCAGCTGGTTTCGGATTTTCTGGACGACGATGCTTACCTCGTTTTTTTGGGAGGTGTAGCCTACCAGCGAGTCGATGAACAGGACGATGTCAGCGTCGGAGCCCGTCTTCAGGGCTGTGCCTTTGCTGGTCGACCCTCCCTGGTGGGCAGAGGTGGGATGAAGCGGGGTCGCTGCACTGTGGAGCCCCCAGCGGTTGGGCTAATTAACCAGGTTGCCGCCCCCCACCCCATAGATTCCAAGTTGGGGTCCAGGGAGGGCTGAGGCCAAAGCAGACCCTTTCATTTTTCACACGAACAGACTCATAGGATTCCAAAGACGGTCATTCTCACTCCCTTTGCTTCTTTATCCGTGAACAACTGACTGGTTAGTTACACACAGCCTGCCTCGCAAGTCAGCTTCCTAAAGATGGCTCCCAATAAGGATTTCACTTTCGATTTTTTATTTTTGCATTTTCTTAAAAAAATTTTTTTTTAAATTGTTCAGTGACCGTTGTCCCCGTTTTTCCCCTGTCACTCTTCCCTGTCACTTTGAATTCTTGCGACCTGGAAGAACTCCACCTAGATGCAGCCATGATGTTGAAAGTTCTCACCTGCTCCCGGATCCATCCATTTTTTCCCACCGTTTGTGCATCGCTGGGTGAATTTCCATAATTCAGGTACACAGGGTGGCAAACTTCGGGTAAAGGGCTTCTCTACTTCCTTCCTCCTTCCTCCCTCCTCCTCCTGTGCCCCCCCCCCCCCATGCCTTCAACAACTCAGCGAAAGCCTGAAAACCATTCTTGGCTCGCTGGCCCTGCTTTGCAACCCCTACGTGAGCTGCCGGGCTCGTTTGTGGTCCCCGGGGAACACAACCCCTTGGCTGATGGGTAGTAAATGCCTGTCTCTGCAGGATAGCAATGAGAGGAGGACGTTCTGTTCCTGTCTACCAATCCTCAGTTAGTCCCTGTTCCAACCCAATTCATTCACGCAGACAGAAGGAAGAGTAACAGCCCACGGCCTTCGGGCCATGGATGAGGACGACCCAGTCCACGGAATCTCTAGCTCAGTGGGTGGCAGGGATCCGTCTCCAGTCACCGAAACAAGAGTGAGGTCACCCTTCGGTTCCATACACACTGAGCTTGGCATCCACGGTGGTTTGGACGGTAGTTCCCCAAAGGTACGTCTGCTGGGAAGGCGTGAATGTGATCTTATTTGGAAAAAGGGTCTTTGTAGATTTAATTAAATTCGAGTTCTGTGGGCCCTAAATCCAATGGCAGAGAAGAGAAAGGGAGAAGACACTGGGAAGGTGGGGGCAGAGATCTGAGGGATGCAGCTGCAAGCCAAGGGTGCCAGCAGCCTGGGGACACTTACAGAATCAAAACTGTGTTGTCGACGACCTACGCTGCCCATCAGCACCACCCCCACCCTGAAAATCAGTATCCTCGTCACTGGCTGCCTCGGCTTCCTTTCCTCCTCCTTTGCCCTTCAACCTCTGCTGTGGGACAAGCACTTCAGAGCGACAGAGAACTGCTCAGCATCCCGCCAGCCACGCCCTTTGAGAGAAAGGTCAGGCTCACCTTGACAGGCTTCTGAACCTTTGTACTTGAATCCCGAAAGCATTGTTCCCTGAGGAACGTACAGATGATGTCAACGGCACTGCTCATCTGATTTAGGAAAGTTTGGTTGGGCTGCAGACATTTCTTGATGAACGCATCCAGACGATGGCCCGGGGTCTCCTCCAGCGGCATCGGCTGGGGAAGGTGAAAGAACCCCACTGCCCTGAGACTCCAGCCACTCGCAGTGAGACTGCAGGGGGTGTTGGGAAGCTCCCCGTACCGTCCGCGACCCCCGAAGCAGGACACGAGCTGCATTTGGAAAGCCCTCTTACCAGCACATTCCAAGATGGTCCAGGTGGCTCTTTCAGGCTGGGAGAAGACAGCCAGAGTTGAGCTTCTTCTTTCAGCAGCTGCCAGCCTGTCTTATCTTTGCTCACGTTATTGGTTGGGTCGGTTGGATCCAAGATTACTGGCCTGTGAATTCCATGAGATTACAAAAAAAAAAAAAAAAAAAGAAAATCCCTTGGGCTGCCTATGGGAGGAGAAGTTAGTTTCGGGGAACTGGGCTTCTGGAAGCCTGGATTTTTACTCCTGTGGTTTCTCTCAATTGCTACGGTAATTGGGCTAAGCAACAGCAGCAGCCTCTCCGGCCCTGTGTTCTCTGCCTGACGGAGACGTTCCATTAATAATGTAATAAGAGGCTCTCTTCCTGCTGGCCCTTCTTCTCTCTTAGCCTCTTCGAGAAAGGGAAGTACCTCTCAAGTGTTTGTTTTGGGCATAAAAATCGATGATGGTTCGGGATGTGAAAAGCATTGGTCAAGTCTCTCTCCCTCAGACAGACTTCTCGTTGCCTCCCTACCCAGTGCTGCTGGAATTCTCAGGGTGCCCCCTGGGCTCAGAAGGGCAGGGCTGGGCTCTCCTGATGGGGAACAGTCTGGCATGCAGAATGAAGAGGTGAAGAGGGAGAACCAGGGAAGCCACGTACCTTGGGGATCGAATCTGGCTCAGGATGACGTTCCGGACGGTCATATCCTCAAAGTTGTAGTTGATTGTCCAATAGACACACAGCTCCTCTGGCCCCTTGATTAGCTCCAGGACAGTTCTGATGCCTTCAGCTAGATCAAAGTTTTCTGCCCCACACCCCTGTTCCCAGGCATAGACTGTGAGCAGCTCCAGAGCATACGAAGGTGGCAGGGGTGTGTCCTTCCACTTTTTCTGGCACTGTGGAAGGACAAAGGGGCAGCAGCTCATTTGAGGACCCAGTTCTTCCCACATCAGGGGTCTGAAATCAAGACACTAGATATCTATAAGAAGTCCCTGTACCCAACCAGGGACCACAATGACACCATGGCTAAAAGTCAACAGACCGACAATATCAAGTGATGACAAGGGTGTGGAACTCCTGAAAGTGTTCCACATTGCTGACAGGAGTGTGATTGGGGACAAGCACAGATGCTGCTCAAATGACCTGATAAACCCACTGTACGTTGAAAATATTACCAGTAAAAATGCATCTAATACAACGAACCCACCGAATAGCAGAGCTTAGCCTAGCCCTCCTTATATGTGCTCAGAGGGCTTATAGTTGGGTAATGACCTTGACTTTTATTTATCTCCAGAGTCATTGTCTTCCTTTTCTTCTCACTGGAAGTGGGAGACAGATGGGCATTTTGCAGACAGGATGGGGTGTGAAAACATGAAACGTGGTCTCCAAAAACAAAGCCTGGCCACACAGCACACTGTCGAGTGTGGGTGGTTTACCCTGGTGACCCAGAGGTAGGCTGGGAGCGGAGCTTCTCTGCCACTGCCCAGCACCACAAGAGGGTGTGTACCACCAGGCCAGGGAAAGTTCAACATTCGAAATACGGTGTCTATGGTATGCCAATCACTTTCTCGCCATTGTGGCAAAAAAATCTTACGTCGAACCATCATAAGCCAGGACCCATCTCTATGTGGTAGTAGTTCCTAGAGTTATGTTCACAATCCTCATCATGTACACATATAGGCATACCTATGTATGCCATGTGCATGTGTATACACACATGTACGTTTTCATAGACATATCTCTTATAACCCAGCAGTTCCACTCCTGCCTCTCCCCAAGAGAAAGGAGAGCTTCCGGTCACAAAAACACACCTGGGGCAATGTCTGCAGTCACCTAATTCATAATAGCCCCAGTCTGGAAATGCCCTGCATGTCCCTCGGCGGTAGAATGGTGTGGTGTGGGCCCACCGTGGGACAGCAGAAAACAATGGAAAGTGACAACCATGTGTACCAGCGTGGACATGCCTCTCGGGCATGACGTTGAACGGAAGACGGCAGACGCCAAGAATGTACAGTACAGCTCCATTTCTATCCAGTAAAACAAGCCAAATGCATCTGTGGTGGCAGCTGCCAGGAGAGGGGGCAGTTTGGGGGAGTATTAACCCAGAGTGGGCTTGAGGCAGGCTCTTGGGGGCCAGGAAATGGGCTCTATTTTGATCTGGATGTGGCTTAAAAAATACATAAAAGTGTGTTGCACTGCATCGGGAGATTGTTGTACCGTGCCTGATTGTTAGTTGATCTTGAACCAGAGGCAATGGGGTGTTGGGCAGAGATGTACAATGTGACACTCACCTGCTGATACCAGGCCTTTACCAAGAGGATCAAGTCCTTCAGCTTCCTGGGATGGTGGTTAAAAAATTTCTGCTGGAGTTTTGTGAAGCAGACTGAGAACTCGCCAGGGCTGGCTTTCGTCATATCCAGGGATCTTTTGAGCTCTCGGTAGGTCCGGAGGCAGGGCTCGTTCCTGAAGCCTGGCATAGAAGAGAAGAAGGACTTCCCGTAATCATGAAAGTGACCACCCATCATGAAGGTTGGGTGTGGATGAATGGCCACACTTGGTCTCTTTGGCTTGAATCCAGCCCTTGTTTACGGCAGGCACGTACTCTCAACGCTTACCGTCCTACAGGGCCCGAGTATTAGCTGTTTCTAGCCTGATCTTACAGTTGGCAAAAGTGGGTAAGGGGTGGGACCAGGATAAGAACTTGGGGCTGCCCACTTTCCCAACTGGTCATCTGTCAGTGAAGGTGAGCCATCAAAGTGTGTGTGTATGTGTGTGTGTGTGTGTGTGTGTGTGTGTCCATCTTAAAGGCACCCTGGCCTGGGGCTTAGAAGACCTGGGCTTTGATTCTAGCTCTTTAAGTAACTGGCGGTGTGGCCCTGGGGACATTCCTTGCCTTCAGTTTCCCAATTTGCTCAGTGACGGGTGGAGTTTGAGGCATTTAAGTTTGTGACTGTGTATGTACCTAAACAGTCACAACTTAAATGCCAGATCCTAAATGTTTGATCCTAAACTTTAACTGTGTGGAGTCTTTGCCATTCATTCATTCATTCATTCATTCATTCATTCATTCATTCATCCATCCCTCCATCCAATTACTGATCCACCCACCCATTCAATCATTTGTCTGTCCATCTATCATGCATGCATGCATCTAGCCGTCCATCCAGCCAGGCACCCATGGAAGGTCCTTGCCTCACTGTTGGCCTGCTCAGAAGGCAGCCGCCTGAGGCCGGCTCCAGCTGCACACATTTGCACCGCCCTCTTTCCCTAACCAACACCTGTTCTGGTCTAAATTCCCAGACAAGCAGCAGCATTGTGGAGCTGGTTTGAAATACAGAGTCCTGGGCCCTACACCTGATCTCCTGAACCAGAACCTGCCTTTTCATAAGGTTCCCAGGCAATCTGTGTGCCTGTCACAATTTGAGAAGCTCTAGAGTCTAGAACATCTTTCCTGAAGTCGATGAGGAGGTGGGGGAGGAGTCCTAGAGAAGAGACCACTTCTCTTGAAGGCCGATGGTCCCCTGCTTTGCAAATCACCAAAGCTCTCTATCCACCACCTTTTCCTTTGACTTTGCTCTCTCAACACACCCCGGGGCACCCATACTCGCCCCCGCATGCACCCGGGAGGGCTCACCCACAGCATCGAAGGCAGGGAACACATCAAAAGTGACGCTCTGCCATCTTGGGGACAGCTGGATGGTGAGCCCCCCGCCCCAGGGCCTCTTGATCTCCATCTTGGCCGCCAGCTTCTGCTCGAGCTGCGCGGCTTTCAGCCACTTGCATATTTTGTTGAGGATTTCACGTTGGCTTTTCCTCTTCAGGTCCTGGAACTGCCCAAGGTCACTGATGAAGATGACAAGGGTACCGTCGGAGTTGCCCCTTAAGACTGTTTTTCGGCCATAGGAGCCACCCTGCCAGTGACAGAGAAGGAGGTGTGAGACTCTGGGTATTTGGGGGGGCGGGTCACGGGGCTCCCCGGTAGGCAGTAGTATCTCTAAACTTGAGCAAAAGCCCAGACTCTTAGAGTTGAATGGCAGGCGGCCATTTGTCTACCCGAAGGCCAGGCTGCCCGTGGCAATGCTGGAGGAAACTCAAGTGGCCAGCAACACCCGGATGGACAAATGTAGTGTATCCAACCCAGTGGAATAGGTCATACCACGAAATGACACACAAAACCTGCCTGCAACAACGGACCTTTCGTCAACAGGGTGGGCCAAAGAAGCCACACACTAAAGCCACGTTGCGCGTGGGTTCCTTCGTACAGGGTGACGCTGGTCTGGAGTTTAAAAACTGGCAAAACGAATCTCTGCGGTCAGAAGTCGGGAGAGTGGCCGCCTGGGGTCAGGGGTAGCAGCAGGGCAGGGAGCCCGGGGGCTCTGAGGAGCTGGGGATGTTTCGCTTCTTGATTTGGGTGTAGGTTACATACTTGTTTGTGGCAATCCAGACAGACTGCACGCTTAGCTCTGTGCACTTCTCTTTTTGTATTTTTTTTTGTTTCTAAAGGTTTTATTTATTTATTTTTAGAGAGAGGGGAAGGGAGGAAGAGAGGGAGAGAAACATCCATGTGTGGTTGCCTCTTGTGCATCCCTACTAGGGACCTGACCTGCAACCCAGGCCTGTGCCCTGACTGGGAAATGAACCGGTGACCCCTTGGTTCACAGGCTGGTGCTCAATCCACTGAGCCACATCAGCCAGGGCCTGTATTTTATTTTAACTAGAAAAAAAGTAACATTGAGAGGCAGGATGGTAGGTGGTTAAGGGTGCATGCTCCTGCCTGGGCCTAATTCCCAGCTCTCTAGCTATTGAGTAACTTCCCTGTGCTTCAGTTTTCACATCTGGACCAAAGCCAGAGACACCAAGTCTCCGAGTATCTTTGCTGCTGGGGCTAGTGAGTATGTGCAAGGGCAGAGAGGTGAGTCTCCAGTGCTGGAGAGCACGGGGGTGGGGAGAAGGTTCTCCAACCCCCTCCCCAACCCGGGGTCCTGGCACCTTCCCAGCACCTTTCTTCCCCAAAGGCCCAGAATCTTTAGCCTCAGCCCTGGGGTTTTGCCCATAGCACTGTATCTATTTCTGACTGGTGAGAGCCCCCAAACACCTCTTGCTGGAAAACCAGAGAGCAACTTTTGGATATATATATATAGTTTTGCTGGAGTCCCTTAGCCTCAGTTTACTGATCTGTAAATGGGGAGGATAGAAACAATACCAGTGAGTAATCACAGCTAATTTACTGAGCATGAACTATGTACCAGGCCCTGAACTAAGAATATGATACACTTATGCCTCATAACTCTTCCAGATGGGTATTATTCTGCTTCCATTTTACAGATGCAGAGACTGAAGCACAGAGAGGTTAAGCAACCCACCCCAGGTCACACAGTAGTAAAGGGCAGAGCCGGTTCCCGAGCCTGTGTTCCTAAACTCAACACCACATCTGGTCCTCTCACCCAAGGGAGGCGGAAGATAAGATGACGTGGGGGGTACCCGGGGCCGGGCACACAGTAGGTGCTCAGCACCGAGTCACTCAGCCTTTGTGTGACCAGGGAATATCCCGGCTCCCAGAACCCGACCCCAGCCCTGACTCACTTTGGCTACATCTGTCACCGTGGGGAGCTCCTCGGCTTCCTCCAGGGTGGCACAGATGGTGTCCATGGCCTCGTCGATCTGTCTCTGACAGTCGTCGGAGGGTCTCAGGAAGTTCTGGACATACTCGCCCAGTCTCTGTGCCGGCACTGAGTTCACGGTTACTGGGCAGGCACTGGAGAACCAGTTTCCCATTATTCTTGCTGACTGCTGAGGTTACAGCTGATGGCAGAGCGGCGAGCAGAGGAGAAAGAGCAGGTCTGGGCTGCGTCTGATGCAGAAATGCCCAGGAGTTTCAGGAAGCTGAAACTCCCCAGCACGCTCAGCTGATTTCCTCAATCCCAGCTGAGTTCATAAATTGCAAGTCCCGCCCACCGCTCTCCTGACTGTCCTTGGCTCTGGTTACCTGTCTTTCAGCTGTTCTGGAGGAGTCCTCCTGGACACTTGAAGCCTCCTGAGCCTGCTTACCAGGGTTTGGTATATGCTAGACCTGGATCCTGGAGTCCACTGTCTGCTTTTATTGGGGCTTGTTTCCCCCTCTGTAAAACTTTGGTGCGTCTCTGATTGGATTAATGTGAGAATAATATAATACCTGCCACATACTTAGAACAGGGTCTGGCAGATGGCCAAGGCTCTGTTAGTGTCTGTTAAGCAAATAACATTTTATAGGGGCAGAGGTCGTCTGTGGAGGCTCTTTTCCCTTTTTTCCTGTTCCCAGGGACCTGAGAACTCAGACTTGGTGAGAGCAGCGAGGAGAAAGAGACCCAGAGAGGTGACCGACGTGCTCAGGGACGCACAGCAATACCAGGACAGAGCTGGACTCAGGTCCCAGAGTGGTCAGCAGGTGGGAGCTTCTGTGTGCCCAGTTACTTTCTCGGCACACATGGAAACCTGCAGGGCCTCACCGGGCACTTACTCCACCCAGCAAGGACAGAAAACAGCCTCAGAAAGCACACAGTTCAGAGGAGAGACCCAAGTTCAACTCCTCTACCCTTTTCCTATGAACAGGAAACTCCGAAGCAGACATCCCCAGGGGTGGGAAGAACAGGGCCTTTCTCTGCCATGATGATGAACTTTGTATGTCAGCTTGGCTGGGCCATGGTACCCAGATTATTTGGTCAAATATTATTCTAGATCTTTCCGTGAAGTTTTTTTTTTTTTTTAAATGAGATTAACATTTCAATCAGTGCACTTTGAGTAAAGCACATGGCTCTGTAGTGTGTGGGTGGGCCCCATCTAATCAGTTGAGGGCCGCAATGGGGAAAAGGTGGACTTTGCTCAAGAGGAAATTCCACCAGCAGATGGCCTTCCGCCTGGAGCTGCAACATCAGCTCTTCCCTAGGTCTTCCTCCGGCCAGCCTGCCCTGCAGAACTTGGACTGGCCAACCTCCGTAATAGCATCAGCCAGTGAGTCTCTAGGTCTAGATCTACACATCCTATTGGTTGGTGGGTGGGTGGGGTGTGTGTGTGTGTGTGTGTGTGTAGGCCCTTGACCACACCTGCCCATTAAGGGCTCTTCCATGACTGTCACTGTAACACCCAGAGGTCGGCTGGGCAGGGGACAGGAGGCTCCTCTGTTAGGTGAACACAGGGAGGTTCAGAGAGGTGGAAACATCTGCCCAGGGTCACACAACTAACAAATTGTCTGGCTGGGTTCTAATGCCACACCACCTGATCCCAAAGCCCGTGCTTTCTTTACCATTTTTTAAAGACTTGATTCTGCAGTCATTGGAAATCCTGAGCAAATTTCCACGATGCGTACGAAGAACAACGCCCTTGGTGTCCTCACCCAGATCTTACATTTGCCTCTCATTCTGTGCACACATCTTATCACCATAATTATTACTAAGGAATCTGAGAGCGTTTGCAGATATTATGCCCATTTATTCTTTTTTTTAAAAATACTTCTTTTTTTCCAAGAACTTCTAGGTTCACAGCCAAATTGGGCTGAAGGCCCAGGGATGTCCTGTGTACTCCCTTGTCCCCACACAGTGGGACATTTGTTACAACCGATGAACCTACACTGGTTCATGAACCTACAACACACAGTAATTACCCAGGCCCCTAAGAACAAGGCTGCTTCCTCTCTGTCTCCCTGTGCAGGTCCCTCCCACACACCCTCCCCCACCCAACAGACGTTTGCAGTGCCTGTGCCAGGAATGCTGTTGAGGACGCTGCCCCTCGGCCCTGGGCATCCATTCCTCTTCGTGCTCCATGGGTGGGAGGCAAGACATCACTTCTTGGATGCCCCTGCAGCCAGAGTCTTGCTGCAACTTAGATTGTTTTGGAGGAGACATGCGGGAGCTGCCCTCCTGCAGCCCTGGTGGTGCCCAAGTCCTGAGAGATGCCTGTGGTTGCCGGACTCCGTGTTCCTGGGTCTGGGCCCCGGCTTAGTGGGTGTGAGGTAGCAGGGGCGGCTGCAGTGACTGACACTGGCGGAAGCAGCAGCAGCCTCTGGACCTTCAATCCAGCCAGGCTGGTCTAATGTTGGAAATACCAGTGCTGTGGTGGCTCCAGCCTCCTTCTGCCCATCTGGGGGTGTAGATGGAATCCCTTTTGACATCCGGTTCCCGGAGTGCTTTCTGTTCTCCGTATGGATCCTTCACTGAGAGGGACCCTGTCACTGGGCTGGAGGTCAGGAGGCACCCCTGACCTCCAGCACAGACCCAGTGGGTTTGCGCAGGAGGGGGGAGGGAAGCAGGCTGAGCACTGTCGTGAGGACACTGACTCACATTTAGGCTCTGGGGGTGGAGGATCCCACTGGTGGCACTGTAGCAGGGCAAGAGACATGACGGGAACTCAGTAAAAATTCGGAAAGCACACAGTGCACGGCATTAAGATGTGCAAACTTGGGGGTGGGGTGAGAGAAATGGGAAAGGTGAACAAAAGAAAGCCTCCAGTGAAAAGGCATCCAATGAAATGTCCAAGGAGAGGGACGGCATGACATGCGTGTTCCCATCCCCTCTGCCTCTGTCTGTGGCAGGCAAAAGTAGCCGATCTGGGCATGCTGTCCTTCTAGCAGATGAGCTTAGAGAGCGTCCCAATAGCCAGACGTACAATGTAGATCTGTAGGCACTTTTTTCTGTATCGGGCCAGACATTGCCAATCAATCACGGTACTCATACCGTTGCTTCTCTATACTGCATTCATGGCAGACATCACTAGTTGATTAGGTCACTTCGCAGCTTCATATTCATTCTTCATAATCCTTTGAAACATAGGGCTTCAGGCAGCCACAACCAGATGAGTGTGGCTGACAATTAGATAAAAGGTCTACAATCTCTGAAAAGTTCTTAGACTGGGTAGCCACCCAGGAATCAGAGATGGGTTTCAGCAGGAGGAAGGATGTGAGCTGGTATGGGTGGGCAGAGAGAAGTCAGGGAGGAGGAGGACATTCTCGGTGGGGGTGGGATGCAGCTGGGAGCAGAGAGGAAGTCCTGAGCATGAAGAAGAAGCTGGAAACCCAGGCTGGCGCCCACCTGTGGAGTCTGGACTCCCATGTGTAGGCCGCCAGGGCAGGGGAGTGTTTGGGACATGTAGTGCCCATCAGATACAAGGGGAGACTCAATGGGGCTGGGTGAGCAGAGTGGGCTGCCAGGAGGAGAGCCCCAAGTTGGGAGGCAGGGTCCTCAGTTGGGAGGCCGGACTGAGGAAGTAGAGTGAAGTCACCAAGCCTCTCTCTCATACACATACACATACACACACACACACACACACACACACACACACACACACACACACACCTGGCAGGTGACCCTGAGTCTCCCCACACCGAGGGCTGGCATCCATCTGTCTATCAGGTATGACTCCTGATTTTCTGGCCTTCACACAGCAGCCTGGGGAAGGTTATGGAATATGTTGGTTACTCCTTCCTTTCCCAGAGAAGCTCAGACAGTGTGAGCAGACAGGACACAGGCACAGGGGCCCATCTGGGCCAGGACTAGGCCCTGCCCCCTTGGGGGAAGCACACCCCTCCCCCGACCATACCGCCCCCAACAATGGTTCCATAGGTCTCTCACCTTCACTGGCCATGGCAGGATGGGGGTGCCATCTCTGTCCATGCAGCATGGGGCAGACATGTACGCTGCAGCTTCCTCTGCCAGCAGGTCCCAGCGGGCACTGTGGCCCAGGATGCCTGTCGGGTCGGCTGGATCCAGGATGATGGGCCTGCAATTCCCATCCAAGGTCAGTCACGTTCCTGGCAACATCTAGGTATCCACCTGCAAGATTGCTTGAACTATTCTCCTTCACCCAACATTCTGTAGGGGGCAGGGGCAGGGGGGTACCCGGGGGGGCAGGGGCAGGAGCAGGGGTAGAGCCAAGAGACTCCTCAGTGCTCCAGGAACACACTCGAGGACTGAATGGAAAATAAACTATGCTCACAACCCCTTTTGTTGCTGTATCCAGGGCAGACATTACTAATCAATCACAGTGCTCAGGCCACACTTGCCAGGCCTGAAAGCAAAGCAGGCATTATTAATTGACCACAGCACTGGTTCCACCATTCTCCCTGCATCCGTGGTCCCTAACAGATGAGGCCACTCTCTTCAGCTGAACCAACTCACAACGTCAGGGTCTTTTTCAACACATCACTCTAAGAAGCGACTACCCACGGACTGGAGATACATCACATACTTGTTACCTCTGTAGCATGTGACAGGTAGGCAAAATCCCTCCCAAATGGGACATGCATATGTTACCTGGTAGGCTCACAGGCAGGGTTGCCAGATTTAGCAAATACATATAGAGGATGGCCAGTTAAATGTGAGTTTCAGATTAAAAAAAAAATGAATACGGTGTTCTTTTGAAAGCATATCCCAATGATTGCATGGGACATTCTCATACTAAAAAGTTACTCATTATTATCTGAAATTCAAATTTAACTTGGAGTCTTGCATTTCACCTGGTAACCCCTATTCACAGGTGACTGTGAAGCGGACTGCCTGTCCCTTAGCTGCACAGGATATTACCTCTAGGAAGGAACCCAGTTCTAGAAAGTGGATTTTCTTGCCTCTGCTCTGTGCCCCCAGGAATTGGGGAGAGACAGTGACTAGGGACCTTGGATCTGACACTCCGGGAGGGACACTGAGGGGGGGGGGCCGAACCTGGCCTTCTGAAGCTGCGTCCTCAGGAAGTCTCTGATGGTCTCGTCTTCACAGTTGTAGTTGACAGTCCAGTAGACGCAGAGCTGGCGGTACCGGGTGACCAGCTCCAGGACAGTGCGAAAGCCCTCGGCCATGTTGAACCGGGGGTCCCGCCCACCCTGCTCCCAGGCATACACTGTCAGGAGTTCCAGCCCGTGCTGGGGGGGCAGAGAGCCTTTCCCCTTGGGCTTCTTGGTGCACTAAGAAATGAGGAGAGAGATAGGGTACTGGTTCATATTGACAACGAAGAGTAACGGGAGGGACCATCTGGGAGCCGGATGCCACCCCCAAACTTTTACTGAGCGCCTCCTCTGCCAGATGCCTTGTCCTGCATGACCCCATAAACTCTTGTGACGTATTAATGTCGGCCCTATATTACAGATAAGAAAGCTAAGATCCTGTGGCAAAATCTGTCTCTGCTCCACTGACCCAGGGTTCCCGCCAGGGCTGGGCCTGCCTCCTACCGGGAAAATGCTCCTGGGGCAGAGCCTCGGGCTGCAGGCAGGGTGGGGGGGGGGTGGGAGGGTGGGGGGGGTTGGGCCCACCCATGTGCGCAAACCTGGCGGTACCAATGCTTCACCAGTCGGATCAGGCTCTTTAGCTTGGTGGGGCGGGAGACGATGAAGTCCCGCTGTAGCTCCGTGAAGCAGCAGGAGTACTCGCCCGCGTTGCTGCAGCTGCGGATGAGGTCCGCGTAGACGCGAGGGTGGGGCCTGGAGCCGGAGCCCAGCTGGCCTGGAGACCGGGAGAAAGCCACCCACACTTCGTTTCCGGGAGTCACAGCGAGGCCAATGAAAGAGCTTCTGCAACCTGCCCCTCGGGTGTTTCCCTGAGCGGTCTGGGATCTGCTGGAGGCCACGGTGTTTTAGGTGGGGCACGGATGTGGTATGACCCAGTGCTGCGTCTCTGGGGAGGCAGGCTCCGACTGCCTGTTCTGCCTCCTTTCAACCCACCTGCTTACCCCTCATGAACAAATTCTCCGCTCGGAGTTAACATATCTTGGACGGTTCCCTGGCTCCTCTTTCTAACAGGAGGCCCTGCAGAGGACAGAATTGGGTGTGGGGAGAGTCGATGCCACGCTGGTCCCAGTGCACTGAAAGGCATTCGGTGATATCCAAGCTCTGGCCCCCTGAACCGAGGAAGTGAACATATTCGGGTACATTTCTGGACCAGTCTCTCCCGTGCTACTCGTTTTGCAAAACACACGAACCAAATCCATTGACATCCGGGGGATTTCCTCACTCTACAAACTCTCCTGTCCAGACTCAGAACTGAATAGATGCAAAGAGATTTGTGTCTCATTTGTCCTCCGTGTCTGGAAGTGTGCAGGGCACACAGTAGGGGCACTTATTGGGCTGATTGAATGGGTCTGTGGTGGGTGGGGGAGGTGCATTGAGACACTTGGATGTCCTTGTTGTCAAATGAAAACACTGGGCTCAAGGTAGAGGAGTCCCTTGTTCAAGGTCACCCAGCATCCTGGTGGAATTGATGGAACTAGAACCCAGCTCAGGGCCACTGGCCACCCATGTAGCACCTTTGTGCGAATTGGAAAAAAGGTGTCCTTTTTTCCAGACACTTTGCGGGAAAGTTGGGATAAGCCTGCACGTCCACAATGCCTACGATGTGAAGGGGTGCACAGCCTCCGCACCGCCCCGGCAGCCCTGCCTCCGCGTCCCCCCTTCTCAGGACTGCTTCCCGGCCCCTCACCTAGAGCATCGAAGGCCGGCAGCACATCAAAGTCCACACTCTGGTCCGGCACCATCTGCGACGCCAGCGAGAAGCTCAGCACACGGGGATTCTCCCACCTGGAGATCTCGAACTTCACTTCGAACTGCTGCTCCTGCTTGCATCTCTCCAGCTGGGCTCGGATCTCCGAGATGATCTCGGCTCGCCTGCTCCCCTGATCGGTGAACTGGTGGAAGCAGCTGAGGAACACCACCAGGTCGGCATCGGAGTGGCCTCGCAGCGCGGTTCCTTTGGCCGAAGAGCCGCCCTGGGGAGAACATGGCAGGTGGCTTCAGCCCCAAAGTACGGCTCGATGTCCCCCTGCCAGAGCCTATGGGCTCTGGGTTCTGAGATAGGAACTTGCTGTGTGACCTTGGGCAAGTCACCTAACCTCTCTGTCTTAGGTCTTTACTATGGGGTTAATACATGGCACAATTGCGAGAAAAAGAAAAGTGCAAGATGGAAGTTTGAACCCTTCAACAAATGCGAAATTTCCCATTGCATCATGTTTGGGGGCTGGAGGGATTTAAGAGTTTTCTTTCCTCCCTCCATCCTTCCCTTCCTCCCTTCTTCCTATTTATTTTTAGGCCTGCAGTTAATTCTCAAGCCTATTTGTAGCAGAAGAACTTTTATTTTTTTAAATTTATTTATTTATCTTTAGAGGGGAAGGGAAGGAGAGAAGGAGAGAAATATCAATGTATGGTTGCTTTTCATGAGTCCCCTGCTGGGAACTGGCCTGCAACCCAGGCATGTGCCCTGACTGGGAATCGAACCGCGATACTCTGGTTCACAGGCCCGTGCTCAATCCACTGAGCTACACCAGCCAGGCTGCAGCAGAAGAACTTTTAAAAATGACTGAGGCCTGGCTCCTACATCCCTGGACTGTGATTTAATTTTCCTGGGAGGGGGCTTAGACATCAGTGTATATCGATGTAAAAGCTTGCCTGTGATTCTCAGTGAAGGTCTAGTGGAGAACCAGTGAGTTGGCATATTGTCCTCAGGGGTTATGGATGAGGAAGGCAAGGATCAGAGAGGAGATGGTGTTTGTCTAGGGTCACACAGCAAGTCACCAGGCTAGCACCTGTCACAAACACTGTTTCCAGAGTTGACCTGTGTCTCCCTGTAACTCCAATCGTGAGCCAAGGTCATATCTGCTGCAGCAGGTTATGTGACTTTATGACCCTCTAGCATCCTTTCTACCTTCTGGGGTCAGCCCTGGGTTTCCTCTGGGGGGACCAGCCCTCCCCCACACTCCACCCATGAGGCCCACATAGGGCTGACTCCACCACGTGACCCAGGCTTGGCTGGCCAGCACATGACGTCTCCCTTGCCCTAGTGCTTGGTTGAGGGATATATCACCAGGCCAATGAAATCCAATTCTAAGACTTCTTTGAATTGTGAGAAATCCCTTTCTAGAAGCTTAGAGATGCCAAGGACCATCAGATGGACAGAGCCTCTTTAAGACAGAAGACAGAGCCAGAGCTAGAAAGAAAATCTGAGTCCTGATTATCTAGTATGGGCTCCTGGATCCAGCTGTGCCTGAAGGCAGTATATTCTAGGGCCTTCCATTGACATCAACCGATACATTCATTTTATTGCTTCTTTGGAGTCAGCCGTCATAAGCAACCAAAAGAAGCTTCTTGGGCATATGTGGATCCGCCCTCAACCATCCACCCTTGACCGTGTTCTGCTTTCTCCCCTGTGTTTGGCTTTGTGCCATCTGCTGTAGGGGTCACAGAAGTGGGTCAGACCTGGTCTGGGCCGAGGTGCGATCACCAGCCTGCAGGACCCTTGGCCCACAGCTCTCTGGGGACTCACCTTGACCACCTTGAGCACTTTGATGGGAAGATTCTTGAAGCAGTTTTCCCTCAGAAATGAGCAGATGGTATCAACAGCCTTGTGCACTTGATCCAGGAACTGGCGGTCGGGCTGGAGAACGTCACTGATGAACTTGTCGAGGTCCCTGGCTGGAGTCTGGTGAAGGAGAGTAGGCTGAGGAGAGAACACGCAGGTGGGGTCAGCGCGAGGCAGGCTTCCCCGTGAATGCCCAGGCCCTGCCCCTTGGTCTCCTGTGGTCTAATGGTTCCCACGATCTCCTAGAGCCCCTCTCTTCTCAGCTGGTTGGCAGACCATGGCATCCAAGGGACGAGTTCAAGTTCTGGTTCTCCCACCACCACATAGCCTCAGTCTCCCCATCTTTACACAGGGCAAGGTGAGGCCCATGCCTCGCCGGATTGTCCTGAGTGGTAAGTACTGGTTATGAGATTTTGCTGCAGAGCAGCAAATGCAGTGAGATAGCTGTGAATGCCTGCTGTCTGGAGCAGAGCTTCCAGAAGCACAGCCTGTGATGGTGATTCTCATGTACGTGATTCACTGGGACATGGCTCACGGGAGAGGGGAGTGAGGGAAGCAGGCGGGGTGGGGGAGGCTCAGCTGGAGAAAGCTTGTTCCGGACCCCAGAGGGGGCTCTGCAGCTTGAGTCGCATCATGGAGCTGGTCCTGCCTTGAAATGGGCTGTGCGTGTCACTCAGGCAGTGGCTGAGGTGGGCCAGCCTGTGCCTCGGCTGTGAGCCACCAACCTCCAACATTCATAGCGGCTGGGGGTGTGGGGAGAGGGGATGCGGAATGGGGCACCCACAGGGCTCCGCCCCTGGGCACCCCCTCTTACCGTCACATCCCAGGGCTGCACAGGTATCCCTTCTCTACTCATGAGGCAGGCCTGCCTCTCCAGGGCAGCCGCTTCCTGGGCCAACAGCTCCCAGCTGCCCCGGCCCACATTCCAGGTGGGGTCAGCAGGGTCCAGGATCAGGGGCCTGGGGGCTGAGTGGGGAGCAGGTGGGGAGGGTGGAAATCAGTGAAGGAGCAGGCGGGGTGAGAGAGATTGGGAAAGGGTGTGGGGGCTGGAGAGACAGAGGAGTGTCAGCACCTTCAGGCTGCTGCCCTCGCCCAAGCACGGGTAGGGTCCCTCCTCGGCCACCTCAGTCAGGAAGCTACTGGGTGGCCCCTTCATTTCCTGTATGGTGCTACACTGTGTTAATAAAGCGGGCCCTGGTTTCCTCTGGGGCTCACTGTGCCTGCGCTTCCTGGGCAGAGTCCAGAAGGAAGCCCAGTGAGGATGGGGTTGGAGCACCCAAACCTCACCCTGGACCCCTCCTGGGTACAGCAATTCCAGGCTGAGAGTGGGGGAGAAAGACGATGCGGGGCAGGGAAGGAGGCAGAGGCTGCACCTGGGTTTCTGAAGCTGGCTGAGGAGGTGCATTCTGAGGGCTGGGTCCTCAAAGCTGTAGTTGACTGTCCAGAAGACACGGAGCTGCTGGTGCTGCTGCACAAGCCCCAGGACGGTCCTCAGGCCGTTGGCCATGTGGAATCGGTGCTCCCCGCTGCCCTGCTCCCAGGCGAAGATGGTCAGCAGCTCCAGGGCGTAGGCCGGGGGCAGAGAGGCACAGGCAGGCCATCCTGCTCTGTTCCGGGAAGCAACCTGGGTCACCTAAATTTAAGAATCAGCAGTGAAAGCAGCTCCTGTATGCTAAGCACAGCCCTACACACTTGTGAAAGGAGGGGAACAAGAAACCAAAACCACAGAAAGAACAGAACCACAGGGTGGGGGTGGCCTGGCTCACCCTTCTCATTTTACAGGTGAATCAACTGAGGTCTGGGAGGTAGTGGGTAGTGACTTGTCCAAGGTCATAGAGTGAGACCAAGCAGCTCAGACTAGGTCTTTGCCTAGAGTCTCTCCTCAAAGGATATACGGGGTGGTCATAGAGGAATGGGGTCTGTGACATATTCACTGTAATATTTCAACACCCGTCACAACAGTTAGCAATAGTGAGCGCTCAGTAGATGGTTGAGTAGATGCGCGTGTGAATGTGAGTCGGCATTCAGACAGGCGTTTGCTGGGGGAACTCTGCAAGATGCTCCGGATTTAGCATGTGTTACAAAGACGAGGGTGATGGAGGGACAGCAGGAGCAAAGGCTTGGAGGTAAGCAAGGACCGGGAAGGCAATAGTGGTGGGAGGAGCTATGGCTTGAGAGGGGCGGTAAACCCCAGCTGCAAAAAATGAGGATTTGGGGACTTGATGGAGAAGTGGTGCTATCTCAGGCAGAGGCTTCTGGGTCTGGGCAAGACCTGAAGGGTAGAGGGGGAGGTCCTTCTATTTGGGATAGCCAATAAAAAGCAAAGGAGGGTGCACGGGCTGTGTAGAAGTTGATTGGCCAAAGCGGTTGCCATGGCAGCAACTGATTCCCAGAAGGAGCCAGGCGGTCCTAAGGCCTCACCTGGCGGTACCAGTGCTTCACCAGCAGAATCAGGTTCTTCAGCTTGGCTGGGCGGGTGTTCACGAAGTTCCTCCGCAGCTCTGAGAAGCAGGCTGAGTGCTCGCCCTCCTGGCAGCCGCTGTCCAGAAGGGTGCAGTAGATCTGAGGGTCAGGTTTGGTGCCAGAGCTGAGCTGCCCTGTGGATGGTTGAAACACCCTGAGTAGGCATTTCTAATTGATGTCAGCAGCATTTTCCAACTCAGCCATGCACCAGCCTTTAATATTTGGACATTCATTACATAATGTTGCAACCAATAATACACAATCTATAACACAGAATAACAATCAGAACTCTTACTATTTTTAGCAGCAACTAGGTACTGGGTGCTTTTCAGTCATTTCCCCTAACTCACCCAACAGCTTTGCAGGGTGGATAATCTTGCACCCAAACAAGCTATGTAGCAAAGTTGTTAAGTGGATGAGCTTTGGAGGCAAACAGGCCTGGGTTCGAATTCTAGCCATGGGACATTGACTCTCTGGGCCTCCATTTCCTCATCTGTAAAAGGGGATGTAACATCCACCTCATAAGGCTATGGTACGAAATCTACAGGTACAGTGCTCAGAACAACAGTTAAAACATAACTGTGTGCTCAGCAAACACGAACTGTTGCCATAATCAATATTACCCCCAAAGGGAAAACCACAGCACAGAGAGGAAACTGGAATGAGTCACAGACCATTCTTTCCTCCTGTTGGCACTCTGGATTACATGCCTTCTCCATGGGAGGTGACTAAAAAACATCACCTACTAACAGAGAAAGGCTTTGAGGAAGCTTGCTGCCATGGTCCTGCGGTGGGGAGGGGGGGCAGGGAGGGGCAAGGGAGAGAAAAGTCTCCCTGGAGAAGATGAGACCCCACCCCATGTGAGCCTGAAGTCTAAGTTTACAGAATCTGCACAGGAAGGAAACCCTGGGCTACTGAGTCAGTGTAAAATTGGCTTGGGAATCAGTGAAACTCTTGGAGCTCAGCTAGAAGCCAAATGAATGCTCCGTTCCCGGAGGGTATTTCTCCGACCTGGAGCAGAGGGAACTCCCACAGCAGAAGGAAAGAAAAGAGAAGCTCCACACACCCTGGAGATGAGCTCACAATGAAAAATTACAAACAACATGAGGAAATGGCCCGCCATGAGCGAGAGTCAGGTAACAAAACAAACAGGAGAATGAATGTTTTGGGAGTTTGGGAGAATAGGCCAATCTGAGAGGCTAAAACAAGCATAACTAAAATCATTAAAGAGATAAAAGAGATTGGAAGCCACAATGAAAGAATAGGAGCCTATGAGCAAACAACACGTTGATTTGAGAAATAGCTAACGAGAACTTCTAGAAGTGGAAACTAAAGTCACTGCGATTTTTTAAAAAAAAATTAAGGTTAGGTAACTGATTAGACACATTTGAAGACAGTAAATTGGAAGACAGGTTTCTGAGCAACTAGCAGAAGGCTACCCTGAGAGATGGGAAAAAACAGGAGCGATGAAGAGACTCAGAGGATGAAGTGAGATACCGTTAAACAGAAGTTCCAGAAGCAGGGAACAGAGGAAGCAGGAGAGGTGATATTTGAAGAGACACTGGGAGACGTGTGCCCAAAACTAAAGGAAGAATCGCCTCCTCAGATTCAATAAGCACAACAAATTCTAAATCATATAAGGAAAGAGAAATCAATATGCACACATATCAGAAACTGAACAATACTCTGAACTAATAAAGAAAAGTCTTACCAAAAAGGAAAATAAAACCACACACGCACACACACACACACACCCCCACCATCAACAAAGAAGCAGACAGCCGACTTCTCATCAGCAACCATGGAGATCAGAAGACAGTAGAAACAGAGGAACACACATGTGAACCGTTTCCTCCAGGAGTGCAGCTGAAACAGAAAGGTTTTTTGGGCAAAGTCTGAGAAAATGCATCCCTCAGAAACGCTTTCTGAAGAAGTATTACTACAGGATCTGTTTCTGTAAGAAGGAAATGAATCCAGAAGGACAAGAAAAAGGAGAAAATGTTCCTAATCATGTTCATTGATTTTGATTTGCACAAGGTATAAAGAAAAGCAAAGGAAAATAACCTTTCTTATTGTTGGTGTCTTGTATGTTAGTTCTACTATATTATTAATGCCCTCAAAATTGTTACATTATTGCCCTGGCTGGGTAGCTCAGTTGGGTAGAGTGTTGTCCTGATATGCCCGGGTTGTGGGCTGAATGTTTTTCTCTCTCTCCCTTCTTCTATCTCTAAAAAATTCAATAAATTAAAAATTATTATGTTACTGTTGTTTGTTCCATTTTTGTCTTCTAGTTTTTTGCTATTTATAAAAGGCACAATTAAAATTTGATAACACACCCTTACAAATAAAAAAACGGAAAAAGGTATTTCAGGAAAACTCTTTCAAAAGACCAGCACTATGAATGTCAGACAAAATGCTTTAAGGCAGATAAATATTTTAGAGTTAATGAGGGTTATTACTTAATGATAAAAGGAACGAGCCAGTAAAAACATAATTATATACTTACATGCTCCTTAATAATATAGCCTCAACATATTAAAATCAAAACTTTCCAGAATTACAAGGAGAAACTCATAACTGCATTCAGAGGAGGCGATTCTGGTGTCCTATTTACGAATTCATAGACCAAGTGAGGAAAAAATAAGTGATAAAGATCTGAGCAAAGATCATAAGCCAGATCTAAACCATCCACCTAGAAGCCTACAGTCAACAGTGGAAAGTATGCATTCTATTCAACCCTGGGAAACTCAGGAAATGCCTCAAAATTCCAAAGAACTGATATCTGGGAGGTGCATTTTCTGACTACAATTAAAAACAGAAAAAGATAACACAGGGAGCATCGAAGACTTCCGCCAAGATGGAGGTATAGGTGGATGTGCCGTGCCTTCTCACACAACCAAGTTTAGGGACAACTAAATATTAGCATCAGAAAACACAACCAGAACACAATCAGAACACGGAAAATTGAACTTTTCGCAAGTCCGTTAACAACAAATTCTTCAGCCCGACCGGTAAGGGGCGAAACCGGCGTCTGGTGAGGGGTTGCACAGGAGGACTCGGTCGGACCTGGGCGCGGAATCCAGACGCGCGAATCCAGGCGCACGGGTTCCAAACGCAGGATTGGACCTAGTGAGCGACCGAGCAACCCACCGGGTGAGCGACTGCAGAGGAGACAGTGGGGAGGCGGTGCTGCGTGTTGACTGCGGTTGCCTATTTGCACGCGCGAGCGGACAGGAGAGGGGGTGGCCGGTTGGACCGGCCGCGGCTGGACCGGCTGCGGCGATAGAGGGCGCCGCCATTTCCCCGCTCTGACCACGCCCCCACATATAGCGTCACAACCCAGCGACCTGGGAGTCCAAGGCGCCGCTTCTCACATTTAAAGGGCCAGAACAGACCAAAAATGTCGCAGGAAGACCTCAAAGCCCCAGAGATAAATCTAAGCGACGAAGAAATAGCAAAACTCTCAGACGCACAGTTTAAAACACTGGTCATCAGGATCCTCACAGATCTGGTTGATTATAGCCACAAATTAGAGAAACATATGAAGGCTAAACTAATGGAAATGCATGGAATTCCACAGGAAACCCATAGCGATGAAAAGGAAACTGGGACTCAAATCAAAGGAGTGGACCAGAAGAAAGCAAATAATGGCCAAACAGAAAAGAGTCAAGGAGCAAGAATTCAAAGAAATTAGGAGAGTCTTAGGAACCTCCAGGACATCTTTAAACGCTCCAATATCCGAATTATAGGGGTACCAGAAGGGGGAAAGGCACAGCCACCAGTGGAAAACTTATTTGAACAAATAATAAAAGAAAATTTCCCCGATCTGGCAAAGGAAATAGACTTCCAAGAAATCCAAGAAGCTCAGAGAGTACCAAAAAAGTTGGACTCAAGAAGAAACACACCAAGGCACATCATAATTACATTAGCCAAAATTAAAATGAAGGAGAGAATCCTAGAAGCAGCAAGAGATAAGGGGACAATCACCTACAAAGGAGTCCCCATCAGACTGTCAGCAGATTTCTCAAAAGAGACCTTACACGCAAGAAGGGGCTGGAAAGAAATATTCCAAGTCATGAAATCTAAAGACCTACAACCAAGATTGCTCTATCCAGCAAAACTTTCATTTAGAATGGAAGGACAGATAAGGTGCTTCTCAGATAAGATCAAATTCAAGGAGTTCATCATCACCAAGCCCTTATTATATGAAATGTTAAAGGGACTTATCTAAGAAAAAGAAGTTAAAGAAACATGAACAGTGAAAGAACAACAAGCTCACAGTTATTAACAACCACACCTAAAACGAAAGCAAACTAAAAGGACAGCTAGATCAGGAGTGGAAACAGAAATGAAGATCTCAAGGAGGGTTAGCAACAGGGGAGTGGGAGGAGGAGATGGGGGGAGAAGGTACAGAAAATAAGTAGCATAGACAGTAGATAGAAAATAGATGGGGGGGGCAAGAATAGCATGGGAAATATAGAACCTAAAGGACTTGAGGCACATGGACATAAACTAAAGGGGGGTAATGGTGGGGATGGGGGGCAGGGTGGAGGGGAATGAAGGGGGGAATAGAACAACTGTAACAGCATAAGCAATTAAAAAAAAAAACACAGGGAGCATCGTCGATAATATTGTAGTAACTGTGTACGGTGTCAGATGGGTACTAGCCACATCAGGGGGGCCGCTTCAGGAGGTAGGTAAATGTTTAATCACTATGTTGTATACCCGAAATTAATATAATACTGTATAATATTATATATCAACTATAATTGAAAAAAATAGAAAAAGATGACTAAGTGCCCAAAGTACCCAAATGAACAAAGCCCTAACACATTCATTTGAAAACCCACTTCCAAGTAATCACGGATGAAAGAACAAATCATAATGTCATGATTAAAAGTACAAAAGACTTAGATCTGAGTGACAATAAAAATCATCTGTACGAAACATTTGTTATGCAGCTAGTGTGGATCTTCAGAGGGAAGAAGATCAAGAGATCTTCCTAAGCTAAGATCTACCTCAAAAAGTTAGAAAATTAACCATAAAGTAACCCCTGCAATATAAGAAAGGAAATTATAACATGTAATTCTCATTCTGAAAACCCCCCAAGCAGACCTGGAGAATTGTCAACACTTATTAAATTGCCATTGGACTACATGGGTGTGTGGCTGTAGTTTTCTGTATGTTTGAAATACTTTATAACTAAAACTGTTGTAGCCCTGGCTGGTGTGGCTCAGTGGACTGAGTGCAGGCTGCTAACCAAAGGGTCACCAGTTCGCTTCCCAGACAGGGCACATGCCTGGGTTGCGGGCCAGGTCCCCAGTAGGGGGTACGAGAGAGGCAACCACATATTGATGTTTCTCTCCCTCTCATTGTCCTTCCCGTCCCCTCTATCTAAAAATAAATAAATAAAATCTTTAAAAAAAAAAAAAACTGTTGTAAAGTTTTAAAAGTACTAAATAGTTATGGATTAACGATGCTGCATTTCCAATGCCTGGTGGAAGGGAATTAGGATCACAAAGAGGACCACAGGAGATGTTCCCGGCTCCCTGCGGGGCACAGGCTGGGCGCCCCTCACCCACGGCATCAAAGACGGGCAGCAGGCTGACATCCATCCGGCTTTTTAGGGTTGGGGACACTAGATGGAACTGCAGAGCCTCGGTCATGGTCTGCTCTGGAAAACTGAGGGTCAGGCCGGGGACGGGGTCCTGCCACCAGGAGTCCAGCTGTGCCCACATATCATCAAGAATCGCTGCGCGGCGGGGACCCTGGTCCTTGTAGTTCTCGAAGCAGTTGAGGAAGATGACAAGTTCGGCATCGCAGCCTCCCCTGAGGTCCGTGCCCCTGCCGAATGAGCCCCCCTACAGAGAAAAGAGCATCTCAGACCAGTGACTATCTGAGCCTGGGTGGGGGAGTGGTCAGACTGCGGCCCCCCTGGGTCATGGGGACACCAAGACAGACACAGGCTTTGTAAGGGTGGCCTCTGACCGTCAGAAGCCCAGCAGAGGCAGACTACCTCTGCCTGCCTTTACCTTCTGACCCACAATGCTGTGCAAAGTCAGACAGTTCGCAGCAACAGATAACAGAAGTGGCTGGGGGGTGGGGAGGGACCAAGTGGGGGCAGTGGTCAAAGACATTTGATCAAAGATCAAAGCCAAACATCTGCAGTACATCTGGATCACAGGTCGCAAATCGGGGCCACCACAGGTCTGCAGATGTACTGGGCCTATTTCAGTTAGTCAGTCCGTCTGTCCAACCACCCATTCATTCACGCATTCAGCAGATGTTTATCGAGTGATGACGTACAGGGGTGTGCAAGTGGATAGAATTACTTTCCTCCTGATACTTAATGGCATCGGGGGGATGGGAGAGGAGAGGAGGCAGCAACAGTCCGCAAACAGCAGCCCCCAGAAAGTGCCAAGTGCTGTGTGGAGGCCACGGCAAGGGGACTGGGAGTGGGTGGTATAGAAGGTGCAATTGTAACCTGAGCAGTCGGGCCTCCTTGAGAAGGGGACTTGGACCACAGGCTTAAAGGAGGGGAGGGAGAGAGCCAAGTGGATGGGGAAAGAACATTCCAGAAAGAGAATGTGTGAGCCCGGGAGATGTGTGCCCCTGAGCTCAGGAAGAGCCAGGGGGCGAGCGTGGAGTAAGTGAAGGTCAGCGAGAGACCAGAGCCAGACCCACGGGCGAGGAGGCCTCGGCAGTCTGCAAAACCACGGAGGATTTTGTGCACAGAAGGGAAGTGACCTGACTATGGTAATAGAGGTTTTTTTTAAAAAAAACTGTACCATTAAAAAAAAAAGCTCGCACATAAATATACACCTCCAGCCAGCAAAGTACCCTCCGGGGATGTCCATTCCTCTGTCTGCCCGCCGAGTGTGTCTGTGACTTCTTCCCGCCCCCATGGTGGTCCTCCCGTCTATGTCTCCCCCTGGCAGACTCACCTTGCTGACCCTCGAGGCCTTGTGGACACACTTCTCACGGAGGCAGCTCAGGATGACATCGATGGCCTTGCTCACCTGCCTCTGAAACAGGGTGTCCGGCTTGAGGTGGTCCACGATGAAGCGGTCCAGCTCCCAGCTGGGGATCCGGCACAGATCCAGTGCAGAGGGGGCGATGTCAGCCATGGCGGAGAAGACGGGGGCTGGACGGGAGGGCCACCTGTTCCCTGCCCCTGGGCACGCAGCACTGAGGCCGCTGCTGTCCCTGGAGGGCTCCCGGGCGGGGTCTTGCAGGATGGGGAGGTCCAAACCTGAGCGCCCTGGGCGTGGAAGGCCCTGGAAATTTGTGGAAGGAACTGTCTTACACATGCAAAGGTCTCCATGTTCCTTCTCTTGCCAGCCTCCTCCCACTGTGTAGTCAGGGTGACTGAGGCTCAGGGAGGGGAAACAAGAGGCTGCCCAGGTGGCGCCTCTGTGGGATCACAGAAGGGGCCCTGATGACGGGGATATATTATAAAAAGGTCCCCCTGCGGTGGGCGAACACAGCTTGGTAAGCAGGAAGTAACTGTGCAAAGATTGGCGATTAGATTGTTTCACATGCCTGCCGTCCCCCCCTTTTCAACCCAGGTCCACACCCCGTGGCCCCCAGTGCACAGTAGATGCTCAGAAAACACTGAGTACATAAATTAGGCGTACAAACCGAGGAGCCCTGGAGGCCCTCACTCACCGGCACCTCCCAGGGCTTCACAGCGCCCCCTACAGCCTGCAGGAAAGGAAAGCGGTCACAGCAGGACCCTGCTGCTTGGGCCAGCAGATCCCAGGCCCAGGCTGCCCCATTCCCCACGTCCCATGTCGGGTCGGCCGGGTCCAGGATCACAGGCCTGCAAGTCCAAAGGGACAAGAAGAGTCTTAGCAATTTCATGTCTAGATAGAAGCCCAGCACATATGCGAGGCCGTTTATCACAGCCCCCTGGGTAACAGCCCCAGAGGGGAAGCGCCCCCGACAGGCATCATAAGTAGAATGGAGAACACACTGTGATAAGCCCACGCAATGGAAGAGAAGGAACACAACTCCCCACGACCACATGGATGAATCTCGGAGACTTCATTTGAGGAAGAGGACAGACACAAAAGGGCATCCTGTGGGATTCCATTTAAATCTGATGTCAGAACAGAACTGTACTGATAACGGAATGGGGTCCCCCTTGGGGGGGCACAAGGAAACCCCCTGGGGGCCTGGAATATTCTGCCTTGATCTAATGGGGGTTTCACAGGTGTGCCCCTTCACAGAAAGCCATCAGAATGTGTTCTGTGTCCCCAAACGCTCCTGTCCAGAACACGTAGCATGTCTCTAAGAACGCCCCCAAGTGATTCCGATTTGCATCTGGGCCAAATCCGCTGAATTGGAAAGTGCGTGCGTGGCACTGGGCTTTGGCCCTCAGCAGACACGACCCGCTTCATCATGGTTAATTGCCTCCCCGTGACCCAGGCACGGGAGAGCCGGTGGTGGGGTGCTAGGAGGTACCTGGGTCTCTCAAGCTGATGAAGCAAGAACTTCTTAACGACAGGGTCCTCGAAGCCGTAGTTGGTGGTCCAGAAAACACACAGGTGCTGATACTGCTGGATCAGGCCCAGGACTGTCTGGAGGCCTTGGGCCAGGCTGAAGGCATCCTTCCCACAGCCCTTCTCCCAGGCGAAGATGGTCAGCAGCTCCAGGGCATAGGCTGGGGGCACCTCCCTGCTTCCCTCCTGTGGGCACACCTGAAAGAGGGCGGGGCAGGGCGCTCAGAGGATGAAGGGGAGAGGACCGATAGTTCTCTGCAGAAGTCTGGGGTGGAGACCCAGCAGGCTGAGCCTGGGACGCGAGGCTGTGTCTCAAGCCTGTTCCCAAAGCAACCTGCTGTTTCTCATCTGCCCTCACTGCTGGGGCTTTAGCAATGGGCTTGGCTCATGTAGTAGTGGTGGGGGGAGAGAGGCATAAGGTTCAAGCCACCAGGAGGGGGAGCAGTCAGGTGAGGCCAGCAGGTAGATGCAGACTTATTCCTCAAGTAAAAGCACGGCAGAACTTGCCCAGGGCCACAGAGCAAGTCCATGGTCGAGCAAGAACTGGCACACGGCATCTCCTCATTCCAGACCTGCTTTAGGATGCGCGGTCCAGCAGGAGGACCAAGCCATGTGCCTTAAGACTTCGGGCAGCCTGTTCCCTCTTCTGCAGTCACAGGCTGGGCCGCACTTCCCCAATACACAGCAGTGTATTAACAGGCATGCGCAGTGTGGGATGGCCTTCCTGAGGCTGCACCAGCTCTGCGGACTTCATGCCGTACATAAAACATCCCGGACAGTTTCAAAGCCTAACTCTGAAAAGAAAGTCTTAAACCCTTTTAAAAAGAAACATGGGAGAATAACTTTAGAAAGTCAGAACAGGCAAAGGCTTCTTAAATGAGATCCAAAAAGCACAAATGACATGAGAGAAAGAGGATCACAACTGATTACATTTAGACACAAACATTTTCTGTGACAAAAGTCTCGTAAATAAGGTGAAAGTATAAGCCACAGATGGGGAGACTAGATCTGCACACCCACCATATATAAAGAGATCCACTCAACAACAAGAAGGTAGCTAACCCACAAGGAAATCATGAACAAGTCACGTGAACATACAATTCCCAGGAGCATGAAGTGCTGCCAGACAGAAGGAAATATCCGCGCTGTCACAGAGACACAAATTCAAACCGTCACATGCCCGGAGCAAGGACCCTCACTAGTGGCCTCACCTGGCGGTACCAGTGCTTCACCAGGAGGATCAGATTCTTCACCTTGGGTGGCCGAGTGTTCACGAAGTTCCTCCGCAGCTCCGCGAAGCAGGCTGCATGCTCGCCTCTCTGGCAGCCGCTGTTGAGGAGGGCGGAGTAGACCTGGGGCTTGGGTTTGACGTGGGAGCTGAGCTGCCCTGTGGACGTGAAGGCCCGTGAGTGAGGAAGGGTGCTGGGGACCCAGGAAGGGGGCGGTGTTGGTGCTGAGCTCAGTTTGGGCAGCAGAAAGAGAGGGAGGAGGACTTGAGCAAGGGCCCTGGGGGACGAGGAGGAGAGCCTGGAGCTTCTCAGGAGGCAGGGAGGAAAGCTCTGGACCAGAGGGGAGGGTCCCTGGCTCCCAGATGGCCAGGGAAGGGGAGGAAGTGCAGCCTCACTCCCAGGAGGTTCAATAGGAATGATGCTTCCTGCTGAGTCGGGAATCCTAGAGCCTGGCAGTTCTTTCCTCCCAGAGGCTCCCTCAGGCTACACTCAAACACCACTGCACATACCTTTAATTAATCGGAACTGTGGGAGAAGTGACGCCAGAGAAATATAAGGCGAGAGGTTCTGATTCCTGAGCAGTAATTGGTAATATTGTTTGAGCACTGACAACATGCCAGGCCCTGTGCTGAAAGTTGTACATGAATTCCCTCGTGGATTCCCCACTAAAACCCTACAGTTCTTCACCTCGTTTTATAGCTGTGGAAACTGAGGCATGAAGAAATTCAGAGCTCTGCCCCCAGGGGTAACTAAGCTGGAGACGGGATTGGAAGGCAGAGCCGGCTGACTTACAGTGTGTGCCCGCCTCCCCGGGTCGGGAAAAGTAAACGCTCTCCATAACTTCCTAAGGTTCCTGACATCACTTATTTGCTGTGTGGCTTCGGGTGAGTTACTGTATGTCTCTGTGCCTCAGTGTCCCTATCTGTAAAGTGGAAAGCAAGAGAGTCAGATTTTATAGGTTTGTTTTGAGGAGTTCATAAGATAAGACATGTCAATTGCTTGGGAAAGTTAAGCACTGGATAAGGCGTAGCTATGATGATTAATAATAGAGCAGGTGAATAGGTGTGGAGAGAGTGTGGCTGTAGCCAGGACATTGTAACCCGGATAAACTCAAGATAGCTACCTCCCAGAACACCATGGTACAGGATAATACTACTAATGCTACTACTAATAATAATAATAGAAATAAGAATAGCAAGCCTGTATCTAGCCCCAGCATGCATCAGACACCACTCTAAGTCCATTACATGTATTAGCACATACAGTCTTTCCCAGAACAAATTTCTACGGTCCTACGACTATTACTTGCGTTTGACAGATGCAGACCCAGAGACATATTATCATATTAAACCATGCACGGGGATATGACAAAGGAGAGTGCAAAAATCACATCGATGCTTTTAAGGTAAACTAGGAGGTTCTGCAGAATTTGCCTTCTCCTCTGGGCTCTCTGTGCGAAGGCTGAGCTGCGCTCGGCAGGGGCTGAAGAAAATTCTCCCCAGTTGCTTGAGCAAGGGCCAAGCATCATGGCTGCAGGACCGCGGAGCCCGGAGGAACTGGGCCTTCTTGGCTCTTGTCTGGTCCAAACCCATTATGTTAAGTCAAGAAACCAAGGCCCAGAGAGGGCGGCCCAGGTCACACAGCAAGTTGGTGGCAGGACAGGAACCGTTAGCCCTGTCTTACTCCTAATGACCTCGCCACAGCCCTGGAATGGGCCAGGCGCGCCCCTTACCCAGAGCATCAAAGGCAGGTACCAAGCCAACATCCATCTGGTCGTCCAGGTCTGGGAACGCCAGTCGGAACTGCAGGACCCCAGGCATGTCCTGCTTGAGGAACTCAAGGCTCAAGCCAGAGACCTGGTTCTGCCACGAGGATTCCAGCAGCACCCGCATCTCCCCGAGGATCTCTCTGCGCCGAGCACGCTGGTCCTCATAGCTCTTGAAGCAGTTGAGGAAGACGACAAGTTCAGAATCACAGCCACCCCTCAGAGCTGTGCCTCGGCCAAAGGAGCCTCCCTGTGAAGAAAACAACAACAAACAAACTACTCAGAAGTCTGCACTCTCCAATGCTAGTGCCTGCACAGGCTGCCAGGTGAGCAGGCTGGGTGGGGATTGCGGCCACACAGCTCTTGGCATTCAAAGCCACGCGGGAATATAGGCTAAAGGCGGCCAGCCCTGAATTTTCAAGAAAAGCCATTTTTATATATCAGTCCATAATTTCTAAGTGTTAGCAATGAACTATCGAAAAATTTAAAACTGTAGGTGACACGAATTCTGGTTTGTAAAACACATTTATGATCTTTGTCTGGGATCAATACAAAGCAGTTACATAATTTGAATACAAATTGCTGAGACCTTTCTGACCAGTGCTTCTTTCTGCAAAGCTGCCAGCCTGACAACTCTGGAAGGAAATGCACATTATCAGTCTCTGCTCTGTGCCTGGTGCCCTGACAAATGTCTGACACCCATCTCCCTGCCAACAGGCAACAGCCCTCGTGTGGTTACATGTGGTCCCAGATGCAGGGGGAGGCTCCAAGCAGTAAAATGAGTAACACTGAGAGCAGTGAAGTGAGTTGTACAGCCAGTAAGAGGCGACAACCAGGATTGGCCCTCTGGGGGCATCTTCCCACCCAATGGGATTGCTACCTACGCAGTGGTAACCCAGTTCAGTCACTGCCAGCCCCTCACAATCGGCGCTGCCAACAAAGGCACAGGGCACAGGGGAATATCAGAGATATTCTTTCATGCTTTGCACACAATCATCTCATTTAACCTTCCTAACAAGCCTGGAGGAAGGTGCTGTGATTGCTCGTGCTCTAACAACCAGCAATGGGAAGTGCAGGGAGGTCGCCACTTTCTCACGATCTCTGAGCTGGGAGAGACAGCGCCGTGATTTAAACCCAGAGTCAGGCCCAGATGCACATTCTCCACGCCCACCCCAATAAACTAATTCACTTAAACAATAGATTTTGTTATGAAAGTACCCACACCTACAGAAAAGAGGAGAGGATTTTAAAGATGCCTTTTGCCACATTTGCTCAGTTGGAGCCTTTTTTGGAAAGAAATTCCAGACAATGTGTCATTTCATACAAGTGCACGGGCATCTCTAATGGGGTGATTTCCCAGGGTGAGTGGCGGTGCCCCAGGGGACGTTTGGCAATGCCAGGAGACATTTTTGGTGGGGAAAACTGAGCAGGGGCACCCCTTCATGTGGGCCCTGGGGGTTTCCTCCTGTGACCCCTTCTTTGCTTTCTGGTCCAACCACGAGTTGGACCACAACCTCACATTGCGCACCTCACTCCAGCTGGGAATCAGCCATTCCCCACTACTGGAAATGAAACCCACAGCCCCGCCCACTTCACCAGGGCCTCCTTCAAAGCCTCAGGATTGCAGGACCATAAGCTAAATTCAGCCTTGAAAGCCATTCCAGGTTTTCCAGGAAGCTCAGGATGCCAAAACTTTAGAGATCCCCAAACCCTGATTTTGCAGAAATCCTCCAGCCTGTGTCTCAGAGGCAGAAATCTGCCCCCCACGCCTCCACCTGGGCTGCAGGTCTCCCCGCCTCCTTTCCTGGGTTCCTAGCTAAGGTTCAGCCCCAGGAAACCACTAGCTGCTCCTCTGTTTTCCTCTCTTCCCCTGATACACTCCAGGTCTCCTCCCTCTCTCCCACCCAGGTGTCCCAGGTCCACGCGGCACCCCTGAGTTTACCCTGAGGACACAGTGGCTGGCCCTTGTCTCCTCGAGTCTGCAGGCATCCTGAGTTCAGGGTGACGAAGAGTGACCAGGCCAAAAAGGGACGCAGCCTCAATGTCCCCACCCATTAAACAGGGACAATGATCCCTGCCTCCCTAACTGTGAGCATTAGATGACATAAGACTCGTTTCATGAGAAAAAGTTCTCATTGTTGCTGGCTAATTTCTCAGCAAGTTGGGCTACTCGGGCTATTCTAGAGAATGACCACGTCTGCACCTTAGGGCCCAGCCCAGTGCGAGTGAGGCCCGAAGTCTGTTTGCTGTGGTGGAACAGACTGTGTCTCTGTGAGAGAGTGAATGGATGAGGAAGAGGCGGCCCTTGGCGGTGTAGATTCAATAATCAGACCACCTGGCTTTGTATCCTGCCTGGACTTTTTACAGGCTTGGACGTGTTCCTTCTGCTCTCTGTGCCTCAGTCCCCCCACCTGTTAAGTGGGGATAACTAGTACCTGCCCCGCAGAAGTGTTGTGAGCAGGAGTATTATTTCGGGGCACTTTGAACAACCCTGGAGCACAGATAAGTGGGCTATACTAGTGATAAAGAAATGAATGAAAAGATAGATAAAGTCCCTTCCTGTCCCTCCCAACTCCTATTTTCAAACGGAGACCGCGAGGTCGCCCCTGCTCCCTGAGAACCCACCTTGGTGATTTTAAGTACCCGCCACGGTGGGGCAGCAGCTACCCTGGCACCTGGACGGCCCCCACATTCTCTCAGGACCGCGCCCACGGTCCCCAGTGCGCGACGTGCGGTCCCCACGAACTCCGCGGTCAGCTGCAGGCTGGTCACCAGGCCGTCCAGCGTGGTGGCGGGGGTGCGGTACACGTCCATGGCCGGGCGCCGGGGCGATGGGTGGCAGGGGCTCTGCGTGCAGGTTGCGGGGCTCGGTGCGCTCACCCGCCTCTGCGTGTGCGTCCCAGGGTCTTGGATGTCCCCGGTGCCCCGCAGCGCCCCACCCTGTTCCTGCGCCCGGGGTGGGGAGAGGGCGGGGTGCTCCTGGCCCAGCCTGCCCCAGCTCCCCACTTCCTCGCATCCTCTCAAGATTCTCCTCCTTTTCTGCTTTCAGTTTCGTTTCTTGCAGCCGCTCAGGGCCTTTACCCCGCTTCCGGCTCCCTCCGCAGTCGCGGTTTTCCCTCCCGTGCTTTCCCTCCCGCAGCCCCGGGTCTGCCTTGTCTGGGGCTCCCCGGCTCCGAGGCATCAAACACAACGGAACAAAATGCCTTTACAGCAGCAGGACTTCCAAGCAAAGCGCTGGCACGGAGTAATGTGACCAGGGCGTTTAAGAAACGTGCAGGATTTGCGTGAAAAACGGTCAGCAGATTCACTTAAACGGAGAGCCCCTACCTTGCTCTCTGGCTGAAGGACACCTTCTAAACACGGGCAATAAGGGACAATTACAGAATTTGTCCTGTACCCCTTTACAAATGTCTCATTTAACCCTCCCATTAGCCATAAGAGTTGTGATTATCACACCATTACAGGAGAGGAAGTTAAGGGCCAGAGGATCTAGGCTTCTCGCCCAGGGTCACACAGCTGCAAAGATGGCAGACTGGACTCAAACCCCCCCGAGCAGGTTCTCACTGCTCACTCTTTTTGGGTGGCAGCCAACTCTCCCTAGTTTATACATTTACTGCAGTCCCAATCAAAACACCATTAAAATGTTCAAACACTGCTCTAAACTGTCTTAAGAATTAAGTTGTTTTTTTTTAAAGGAGAGAGTTTAGAATAGCACTTTTCATACAGTATCACCTATTAAAACATTACAAAGCTACAAGATTTACATCCCTGGTGGACTGGCACAGACCGAGGCAGCCATAGTGGACATCGAAGCTGCAAAGTGGACACTTGATTGGGTCTCCAAGGCAGCCCGTTGCTGCTGCCATCTTCACCACCTGGACTCACTTTTCCGTTGCTTCCCTGCTCCTACTCCACCCAGAATGTGGACACTTGAGCTCTTCCTCAGGATTGGCCCAAGCGGGAGTCCCTGTCTCACTCAGAAACTCATTGGTCCTCTGCCCCTTCACTCAAGGAGCCGGCACACACCCTGCCTTTGAGTAAATCTCAGGGCACCGGTAATCTTGGTAAGAGCTTCCTGAAGCGTGCCTTCGTGGAATGGAGACGGTAGATGGGGTCAGAGGGTGTTCAGAAGTCAGAGGGAGAGATGGTAGGCTAGCGGTGCGTACGTAGCTCATATTTACGCAGTAAGTGCCGGGTCACTGGGGGTTTTCAAGTGTAGGGGAAAGACTGGATTACAGGTTAGAGGCACAGATGTGTTTAAAGTATTGGCAACCCAACAGGCTGGGAATTGAGAGGGTGTGCCATCGAGGGACTAGGGCATCTGAGGAATTTTCAGAAAGTAGAAAGCGGAAGGATCAAGATTGGACCCGGTTGGTGGACCGATTCCATGCAGCAGCCTTCAGCTCCACTCCAGAGCTCTAGAAATGATGGGACAGAGATGGCAACACTTAATAAAGCTGCCGGATCCTGTGAGGCCCCCGAAAGGGAAATGCGATTGGACGACGGAGGAAATTACAGCCCCCAAATCAGGAGGAAGAGAGTGCGTCTGCAGGGCTGGGAGGGCTCTCAGGGGCTCCAGGCTCCGCCCAGGCCAAGGGCGGGGGAGGGGGGCTTGTATGAGGAGCAGCAGGAGAGGGAGGGGTTATCTGGAACTCCTCACTCAGGGCTTCAAAGGTGGCAGTACATTAAAATCCAGTTGAGTCCTCAGCGTGAAGTTGGGCACCCTGGGGCTCCCCTGCCAACCCAGGACTGCAAGCCTCACCAGACAGACACATTTACTCTTCCACGGCCTTCAGGCCGTTCTAGTCTCCTCCGCCCTCCGTGAACTCCACCCTCAACTCTGCTGACTAATCTTTAGTGCTTCCCAGTTTCGTTTCCCCAGCAGGAAGTTCCCCAGAAAACGGCCCTGTCTCTGGGGGACTCAGGATTGGATGCCTCCGGTGCTTCCGTTGCTATCACCCCTTCCACGCTGGTGCCTCTGTTTCCAAATCTCAGGAATTTGCACTGGAGACAGAAATTGCAAAACCCAGCACCCCAGAGTTTTCTATGACCTGGGCTTGCTGGCTTTTACCAAGCATCAGAACTTAGCTGAGAGAAATACTTATTAATCTTTTTTTTGGGCAAGAGATATTGCTTTATTGTTTTTCTTTTTTTGTGGTCACACAAGCAGTACAAGTTTAAATGTAAATAAAATCAGAAAATTCAGGAAAGTATTGAGATCGCTCATAATGCTCTTGTCAGATATACCTACTGAAAACATTGAGATCTTCCAGGAACCAACCATTACAAAACATGAATAAAGAAAACCTCCTTTGTACAATAACAGAAACAAATCCCTAAGAATAACATGACAAAAACATAAAAGACCTATTCAGGGAACAATGATAAAACTTAGTCATAAAGTCATTCAAGAAGGCTTAATGAAAATAAACTCCAGCTTCACAGATTGGGATTTTTAATATTATATAGGTGTCATTGTTCCAAAGCCAATTTACGTAACTCCAATTAAATGCCTCCCCAGATTTTGGGTGAAACTTTACAAAATGATTATAAAATTAACCTACAAATAGAGCCCAGGAAAGCCAGGGATTTTGATTTAAAAAAAGAGAGAACACAGTTTCCTATGAGATATTACTAGTTATTTTAAGATCATAGTAATTAAGACAAGGTGGTCTTTTAATGTATTTCATCTTCAAGTCTTTAGTCCATTTCGAGTTGATTTGTGGGGGTAGTATAGAAGGGTCCAATTTTCCCAACACCTTTTGTCAAAGAGATAGCCCATCCCCAGGGTGTGTTCTTGGCGACCCTGTTGAAGGACAGCTGACTGGATGCGCAAAGTGCCGGTGACAAAAGCAAAAACAGGCGAGAGAGACTACATCAAACTCACAATGAAACAATCAATAAAGTGAACGGCAAGCTATGGAAAGGGAGAAAATATTTGCAAACCATAAAACTGAAGGCGTCAATTTTCAAAATGATGAGGAGCTCCTACAAGTCAATAGCAAAACAATTAAAAAAACCCCAAAACTAATAACCTCATTTTAAAAAGGAGCCAAGCACTTGAAGAGACCTTTCCCCCAAGAAGACATGCCAATGGCCCGCCGCGGGCCTATGAAAAGATGCTCAACATCACTAATCACTGGGCAAATGAAAATGAAAACCGTGACCTACCACCTCTCGCTCGTTAGAATGGCTACTACAGAACATATATATATATATTTTTAAAACCCAAAGACACAGCGTCGGTGAGGATGGGGAGGAACTGGAACCCTCGGGCACCGTCGGTGGGAATGCAAAATGGTGCCGCCACTGTAGAAAACAATATGGCAATTCCTCAGAAAATTAAAATGAGTACTACCGTGTGATCTATGTGGCTTTCCAATTAAGCAACTAATTACTAACTCAACTAAATCTACTGATGGCTGTAATATTGTTTATAATCCTGAAACGCTCAGAAGACAACACAGACAGATTATCCACAAGGTAAAAGGCAATGGCCCCGTTACACGGTGCCAAAATTTCCCTCTTCGCACGGAGTGATAAACCCGACCAAGCAGGTGGCAAAAGAGGGTAGGAGGCCGGACCCCACTTTTATAAAAGCTCTATGCACGGGGGGGGGGGGGGGGGACAGGCAGAGTCAGAGAAAAGGCTGGAGGGACAGGCCCCAAATTTGAACGGGTCGGAGGGAGGGACTGTGGGAGTGGCTTTAAAAAAATTATTTCGCTAATGTTAAAGACGAATATCGTCATGAAGGAACGGGTTTATACTCACGGGTCCCTAGACAGAGGAGGTGCAGTCGCCACTCGGGGCAGCACCGTGGTTTTTCACAGGGCGGAGGGAGCGAGGGGAACGCGAACTCAGGGGCGGGACCTTTAGCACAGTTCCCGGGGAAAGGCCAGGCGGGGTAGGCGGGGCGGGCGGGGCAGGCAGGCCGAGGATTGGCTGGTGTGCGCGTGGGAGGCGACGCGTGAGCTGCGGTTCGGTTATGCTCGGTGCACCTGGGAGGGGGCCCTGCCAGGTGTGCGTTGTGGCGGTGAAAGGGTCCGGGGCGCTGCCTGGAACCGTGGAGCCGAGCTGTCAGTCTCGAGAGCACAGGTTATCCAGGCATCTTGGCTGCCTTCTTAGATCTGAAAGTGCAAATACAGCACAGGGTCGCATTCAAGAGCGGGTCGTCCCGCCTTGGCATTTACGGTGGACTGGGTGACATGCCACTTGGATCCTCCCTGAAGAAGCATGAGCAAGGGCCAGGTGCAGGGGAGGCTGTCCGCGAACAGACTCTGGGTACCTGCCCCCTTAGGGTGGCCTAGGCTGCACAGAGCCCCTGGCTTAAGGCCACGACGCCCCTTCCTGGGTTGCCCGCAATGATCCCCCGTTCAGGAGTTTCTGCCCCTACTAGTCACGTGATATGCCCGTCTCACTCGGCTGTTCGGAGTCTCCTGTTTGCCAGGCGCTTAGTAGGGGGATGCAGGGCAGGCCGATTACACAATGGAATGAGCACTAGCGGTGGAGTCCACGGGTTTGAATCCCAGCTCTACCACTCCCTCACTGAACGCCTTGGAGTAGGTGGCATCACCTCTCTGAGCCTCCTTTTCTCATCTCTGGGATGAGAATAGAAAGCCTGCCTCCTCAGGTGCTGTGAGGACTGAATAGAATAATGTGTGAAAACGGGCTTAGGACACTATCTGAGCCCAAAGCAAATATTAATGCGCAGTGGCTGCCATTACTATTATTATTAGAATGAGCCAACTGGAGTCGTTAAAGTGACCCTCGGCCAAGAGAGCATTGATTAAAATAGGAACTCTGAACAAAGGATGTCAACATTCTAGGAAGCCTGTGAATAGGGTCAATGTGGCTGGAAAGTTACTGTAAAATAGGGGAGCTCAGCCCGAACCTGTATGAGGGTGAGTGACCTCTAGCAAGAGGCCATTTCTTGGGAAAGAATGGTCGCCAGCTATATGCCCCAAGCCGGACAGAGGGGTGGGGGAAGGATAATAACAGGGAAGAAGCAGAAGGTCTCACCTGTACATTCCAGGAGCCCACTGGAGACCCATCCCATTTCTTAAAGCAGAGGTAAGTCAGCCAGTCTCTGGCCTTTCCTGCCAGTCGCTCCCAGCCCCCTGGTGGGTTGTCAGCACCGACATTTCCTGTAGGGTCAGCTGGGTCCAGAATCACAGGCCTGAAGAGCAACATTTGGAGAGGGACACGTGAGGAGCTGGGCCGTGTAGGTGCGCCTGCTCCTGCAAAACACCAGCCTGGGACAGCGTGGGACTCAGGGTAGGAGGAAGGGCGCAGGGCCCTGCTGCGTGGCGGTCAGTGAGCCCGGAACAAGGAGTCTTGTACTTGGGTCTTACGGGCCTGAGTTAAATGTCCCCTCTGCCCTTTATTAGTGGCGTGTCCTTGGGTAGGTCCGTGGAGCTCTCTAAGCCTTGGCTTCCTCATCTGTGAAATGGGGTCAGTTGAACATGCTGAGCCAAGGCATGTGGAAGGCTCCGCACACCTGCTTGGGAGCATAGTAACAGGCCGACACGTATCGGTCAGAATGAAAAGAGTTCTTGCTATTATATTAGAATGTGTGAGTCTTATAGCAAGCTTTTCATCCCCGGGAACAATGATTACTACCGCTGTCGCTGCTGTCATTTCAGTTCAAATTTCAGCTGTTTCACTTGTTTCTGTCCAGGTCGGGACAAGCTCCCCACCTCTCAGGACTCTAGTCGACTCCTCTGTAAAGCAGTCCGCACCGTGGCGGCCTCTCGGCGTCAGAGAGGAGGTGACCAGTACGGATGGATCCTCCCCCTTCCTCATTTCCAAGGCACCACAGCCGTATCTGGGCCGGGGCTGGGTAGGGGGGGTCCATCTCTGTGGGGGCTAGGTCCTGTGGGAGTAGAGTACCTGGGTTTCTGGAGTTGCCTCCTCAGGTATGGACCGATAACAGAATGGTTCGTGTCGTAATACTTTGTCCAGTAGATACAAAGACGCCGGTAGTTCAGGACTAATTCCAAGACGGTCCGAAACCCCTGAGCCATGATGAAGTCTGCTTCCCCGCTCCCACGCTCCCAAGCGTAGACTGTGAGCAGCTCCAGTGCGTACTGAGGCGGCAGGGGATGTCCAAGCTCCTGCTTACACTGCAGAGGAGGAAAAACAACCAGGAGAGTGGCTTTGTCTGGCTTTGAGTATAAAGCACATGTCCCATGGGCCAAACCCAGCTTAGGGCTCCTTTTTGGAAATCAAGTTTTCTTGGGGCAAAGTCATGCCCATTCATTCACAGAGGCTCTCTGGGTGCTTTTGTGCTACAAAGACAGGAGTTGAGCAGGTCAGGCAGAGGCCATGTGACTCACAAAATCTAAAGTATTATGTACTGCCTCACTGTTTATGGAAGGAGCTCACTGGGCCCTGGGTTCTGATGGATGGGGGTTTGAATTGTGGCTCCACCACTGACTGGTTCTGAGTGGACGACTTAGATTCTGGGGAGACGACTCGGAGCTTCATGTTTCTCATCTGCCAAGTGAGTGGTAACGATAGCTTCTTCCTCAAAAGGGTATTATGCAAATTAACTGAGAGGAAGCACTTGAAGTGTTCCCAGGTGCCTTGTAGAAGCAAACAAAATTCCCTCTGCAGGAAGATACAGACTCCAAAACCTCACATGACTTCACCAATAACTTCAAGTACAGTGACCAGCATGCAAATAACCAGGTGCACAAGGAAACAGGACACCGACAGTGAGGACCAGCAGGAAAAAAAAAAAGAGGAAATAGTAATACATTCACAAAACTTGAGATATGGAAGGATCAAATTCAGGCTTTAAAATAACTGGGAACACTCTATTCAAAGAAAGAACAGAAGAGCATGAAGTAGTGGGTCTCAGAAGTCAGGCCCCTTCTCCACCTCCCCCTTCTCAGGCTCTGTCTCTCCCTCCTGGTTCCCCTCCCCTCTCTTACCTTCTGCCCTCCCCTTCCCGCCCACCCGCTGGCTGCCTCTTCCCTCTCTCCTCCTTTCTCCCTCCTCCTCTCTCTCCCCCACCCCTCCCTCCTCCTCTCTCTCCCCCACCCCTCCCTCCTCCTGCTCATCCACGCCCCCAGCTCCATACCTCTTGGTACCAGTACTTGACCAGGCGGATGAGGCTCTTGAGCTTGGCTGGGCGCTGCTTCAGGAAGGCTCGCTGTAGCTCAGTGAAGCAGGTGGAGAACTCGCCCTCTCTCCCCAGGCCTTCGCACTCTTGGATGAGCTTGACGTAGATTTGGGGGTCAGGTCTGTAGTCTTTTGTCACCTGACCTGTTAGGGATGAATCCATAACTTTAAGGTGTCGGCTCTGCCCTGAGGTTCTTTGAGTCGCTCTGGGGAGACAAGCTCACGGGCTGTGGTGCAGCTGAAAGAGCCGTCTCCAGTCCCCGCTTCTCCCATCCACTGATCGAAGGTTGTTGGCTTCTGCAGGATCCACTGTCCTGGCTGCTTTATCGATCATGTCCTCCTTGCCCTCTCCTATCACCCTCAACATCTTGCATTTTTCCCACTACACTCGGACCTTCTCTAACCTCTAGGCCTTCGCCCATGCTGTTCCCTCTGTCTGGCATGCCCTTCCCCCCCTTCTCTCTCCCCTTCTTATAATTATCCTTTTGGGGGGGGGAACCATTTATACCCCAACAGCGCCTTTTTCATTCCTGGTGCTTTTAGAGTTTCGGTGTTTTTCGTGTGTCCCCCTCTGGGAGATCCCACCCTTCGTTGTAAGTTTGATGAGGCTTCCTCACATTTTGGGTAAAAGGTGAAATTAACAGGTGGACCTTACACCAGGCCCAGGCTGCCTCACTTTTAGAAAGATGAACCACTTTGCCTCGCAGGCTGGCTAAGAAATGCCTTGCTCCCCGGTTGTGCTGATTTGCTGCTTCATGTTGCTCCCACGACTGATCAGACCTCCTTCGTTCTCGCCCCAGAAGAGAATCTAAGATCTCTTCCCCATTTGAAAGGGATGCTTTGTTTCAGGAAAACTTTCAAACCACGAGAGATTTCTGATCAGACACAGGAAAGGAGAGAGAAAGAAGCCCGACTTAGGGCAGAGGGCTGAGGCCCTGGTGTCTAGGGGCACTCACCCAGGACATCAAAGGCGGGCAGGACATCAAACTCCACCCCCTCCTGGGGACAGCTCCAGGAACAGCTGGAGAGCGTGAAGCTGAGCGAGCGAGGTTTCCGTATCACGCGGGAGTTCCCCCATCTGTGACTCTGCACCACGGCTGTACTATGGCTCTGCATCATTGCTGTGTTCTTCCGGATCTCAAATTGCACCTGGAACATTTTCTCTCTTCTGCAGGCTTCCAGCTGTCTTCTGATTTCCTGGATGAACTCTTCTCGGCGATCAAACTGCTCCTGAAAACTCCCGAAGGAGCTCAGGAAGACCACGAGGTCAGCGTCAGACCGGCCTCTGAGGGCAGTGCCCTTGCCGGAGGAACCACCCTGAAACAGAGGGGGAGAATGAGCCTTCCTAAGTAAAATGAGAACCATCACTAACATTCTTTTCTTTCTTTAAAAAAAGATTTTATTTATCTGTTTTTAGAGAGAAGAGAAGGGAGGGAGACAGGGAGAGAAACCTCAGTGCATGGTTGCCTCTCACTGCCCCCCACCAGGGACCCAGCCCACAACGGGGGCAGGTGTCCTGACTGGGAGTCGGGTATCAGCGACCCTGTGGTTTGCAGGCCAGCACTCAGTCCACTGAGCCACGCCCGCCGGGGCATCACTAACGTTTGTGAGCACTAGCCACGGTTCTGAGGGCATTACCAGTTTTGACTCCTACGATGCTCCCAAGGACTTTGCTGTTTAGGCTCCATTGTTATTAGTCCCCACCTTGCAGGTGCTGGGGAAGATTACATGTCGGCCCGAGCCACTGCTAATAGTCAGCAGAGATGCAATTCACACCCTGGCTGCCTTGTCCTGGAGTCTGTGTTCTTCACTCCCTGGCCTTTACAGCCTTGTATCATTCCACACTGTGGTCCGGCCCACGCGGGGCGGCTTTACTTAATCGGTATAGGGGGTTATGGATGCGGAAACTGAGACACAGAGAGCTTAAGTGACTTGCTCAAGGTCTAGAGCCAGTAGGTGCTATCTGCTTTTAAAATGCATCCTCTTTTTTGAAATTATTATTAAATTTATTAAGGGTGACATTGTTACTGCAACATTATATACATTTCAGGTGTACAACTGTGCAATACAGCATCTGTATCCTCTATGGTGTGCTCACCATCCAGGTCTAGTCTCCTTGTATCACCTTGTATTCGACCCTTTTTAATCCTCTTCGTCCTGTCCCTACCCCCTAGTCACCTCAGGTAATCACCATTCTGTCAGAATCTATACTTTTATTAATCGGCAAAAGTGGTGAGTCTTCAGCCTGGCCATTCATTAGCTGGTTGTTGCTCAGAGCTGGGCCTCAGCGCCCCTATCTCAGAAATGGACATGGCCCAAGTTCCTGAACTTCACCTGGACATTTGCGAAAAAATTACAGGCATCGGACCTTACCCCAGGGTCTATTTCCACAAGCTGCGGTTATGTTTCTGGATCAATTTGAGACCACCAGCCCCAAAGACCTCCACTTTTTAGCTCTCTCTCTTTCACTGTGGAAACTGGTGCCTGTTCGGTCATGCCCACCCCAGTCTGGCAGGTGGGCTCACCTTTACCACCTTCAACACCCGGACAGGGCGGCCGCCACCCTGGAGAAAACACCTCTCCTTCAGGAAGCTGCAGATGATGTGAATGGCTTCATTGACCCTGTCTCGGAAGGGACTGTCTGGCAGGAGGTGGTTTTCGATGAACTTGTCCAGATCCTTGGCTGAGGTCCTTCGGAGCTCCATCAAGATGCTCGGGCGGGGACAGGAAAGCCAGCGGTGAAGGAGACTGGCAGCGGCTCTCTTTTATGTTGCCGCCCCTGAGCTGCTCTCGGTTTCGTTTCCTGGGGGGGAGGGAGGAGCTACATCCTTGCTCCTTATCAGGTCAGACTCAGTGGGGAGTGTTCTTCCAGGTCCAGGAGCTGGCAGTCTGCCTCCAGTTCCTGCCTTCCTTCAGATTGTGCTTTGGACACACTGCTGTTCAACCCCCATCTGTGCTGAGAGAAATGAGGGTTCCAAACCGGGTTCTGGTGCTTTCTTCTTCCCAGTTTTGTTGTGGCTGTTGTGACAAAATTGTTCTATGGTCTCCTACAATCTTTACAATGGTAGGTATGTACTGCAAAAAAAAAAAAAAGGGAGGGAAAAAAAACCACCAAAAAACCTGGGAAGCGTAAAAGCCCATTTGTAACCCCAAACCTCAAAGGCGACCACAATGCGTGTGCTGGGGTGGATCTTTCCAAATATTTTTCTAGGTTAACACACATATCTGCACATGGAAGTTCATGGTTCTCTTGCCTTTTCTTTTCTCTTTTTAAAATGGCATCATATTATACACTTCCCTTTTGATTTGGAGACTTTATTTCTTTTTTTTTCTTTCATTTTAATTCATTTTATTTTTCAGGGCCATTTGAGGTTGATTCAGTTGGAATAAACTTTCTAATACAATATAAGTAAATTCACTTACTGGTTAATAATTTTTGAGATACTCTTCCTATGATATTATTTTGTTGTTCAGTGAGACTACTTTTTTTAAACTTTTTTATTGATTATGCCATTACATTTGTTCTATTCCCCCCCCCGTTCCCCTCCACCCTGCATACCCTCCCCCACCATTTTCCCCTTTAGTTCATGAACATGTGTCTCAAATTCTTTAGATTCTATATTTCCCCTACTATTCTTGCCTTCCCCCTATCTATTTTCTATCTACTGTCTATGCTACTTATTTTCTCTACCTTCTCCCCCCTTTTCCTTCTCCCACTCCTCTGTTGCTAATCCTCCACGTGATCTTCATTTCTATGGTTCACTCCTGATCTAGCTGTCCTCTTAGTTTGCTTTTGTTTTAGGTGTGGTTGTTAATAACTGTGAGTTTGCTGTCCTTTCACTGTTCATCTTTTTTTTAACTTCTTTTTCTTAGGTAAGTCCCTTTAACATTTCATATAATAAGGGCTTGGTGATGATGAACTCCTTGAATTTGATCTTATCTGAGAAGCACTTTATCTGTCCTTCCATTCTAAATGAAAGTTTTGCTGGATAGAGCAATCTTGGTTGTAGGTCTTTGGATTTCATGACTTGGAATACCTCTTTCCAGCCCCTTCTTGCCTGTAAGGTCTCTTTTGAGAAATCAGCTGACAGTCTGATGGGAACTCCTTTGTAGGTGACTGTCCCCTTATCTCTTGCCGCTTCTAGGATTCTCTCCTTCATTTGAATCTTGGCTAATGTAATGATGATGTGCCTTGGTGTGTTCCTTCTTGGGTCCAACTTCTTTGGGACTCTCTGAGCTTCCTGGATTTCCTAGAAGTCTATTTCCTCTGCCAGATTGGGGAAGTTTTTCTTTATTATTTGTTCAAATAAGTTTTCCACTGGTGGCTGGTCCTCTTCCCCTTCTGATGTTGGTCAGAATTCAGATGTTGGAACGTTTAAAGACGTCCTGAAGGTTCCTAAGCCTCTCCTCATTTTTTTGAATTCTTGTTTTTTCATCCTTTTCTGTTTGGTCATTTTTTTCTTCCTTCTTGTCCACTCCTTTGATTTGAGTCCCAGTTTCCTTTCCATCACTATTGGTTTCCTGTGGATTTCCCTTCATTTCTATTAGTTTAGCCTTCATATGTTCCTCTAATTTGTGACTAAAATCAACCAGTTCTGTGAGCATCCTGATCACCAGTATTTTGAATTGTGCACCTGAAAGTTTGGCTATTTCTTCATCACTTAGATTTATTGGCTCTGGGGCTCTGAGTTGTTCTTTAGCCATGTTTTGATCTGTTTGTGCCTGTTACATACGAGGAGCGGAGCCTTAGTTGATTTCTACTATTTTTAACCCGGGTGCATTTGTCATAAGAAATGAATCGCCGTTGATTCAGTATCATGGACCAAACAGAGTTGGTCATTTCCATCAGGGTTCGCTCTGCGTTGCACGTGCCCTGGGTTTGAACAGTGCGTGATGCTGTGCACTCACCATCATAGAATCACGCAGAAGAGTTTCCCCTTGTCCCACTCATTCCTGCCTCTCGGGGCAAATCTTCCTCCTTTTCTGACACATGCATTCCATGCCAGGAAGCCCCCTCTAGGCACTGCTTGCGCGTCATCCCACCCTTTTAACTGCTTGTTCTTCTCATTGGCAGTTAGTGTGACAGTTTGCAATTTCTCTTGAGGATCCTTTAGCCCACACGTTAGTTCAAAGTGTGTCGTTTAGTCGCCAGATATTTTGAAATTTTCCAGATAGCTTTCTTTTATTGATGTGGTGTCCAATTCCATTGTGGCAGAGGGTATGGTCCATGATCGCTGTCCTTTGGACTGGGGGGAAGGCATGGTTTGTGGCCAGAATGCAGTCTGTCTTGGTGAGGGTTTCACGTGTGCTCAAGAAGTGGGTATTCTGTTATTGCCGGAGGGAGTAGTGTGTAGATCCTCATTAGCTATCTTTCTTAGTCACCCTTCTCTTTTTTTAAGGAGAGGGAAGGGAAGGAAAAAGAAAGGGAGAGAAACATTGATATGAGAAAGCAATATTGATCAGTCGCCCCTTGTACAAGCCCTGATTGGGGACCTAACCCGCAACCCAGGCATGCGGCCTGACCAGGAATTGAACTGGCTACCTTGAGAGACAATGCCCAACCCACAAGCCACACTGCCTAGGGCCAGTCACCCTTCTCTTAACCAGCACATCAACTCATCGACACTCCCTGCTCCCATATACTGTGTGGACTTTTGCTTAAGGTATCAATGTAACCAGGGAGGGGTGGGCGCCCGCCTTTGGAACACTCACTTTGGCCCCTAGTTGGATCGTATTATGATAAAGATCCTGCCGGCTCCCAAACGCCTTGATGGGGATTGTACTTGCTAATGAAATGTGTACTTTGGAGTCAACATATATATTAGATTCCACACAAGTGCCAAAGAGAGCTGTCATTAGAAGCGGACATGGAACTCTTTGGAAAGATGCAATAAAGGGAAGTTTCACAAAACACTGCACAGAATTAGGTAAGAATGACAATGACACAACTGGACAGACTGAGGAGACAGCTGGAGGGATCCAGAGTTATGCCCGCATGCTTCTGCAGGCAGCTGTAAGTCCTCGTACCCGTTAAAGACACATTAAGGGAGGTCCAGGTGGCGCATTTATTCAAGAAAGATCATGCTGGACTCCTCAAGGGCCTGCCCTCAGCGAAAAGGTCTAGGTCATTCTTGAACGATTGAGAAATGAAGGCCCCCCCCTGTGAGGGCCCTGGCAGCCACGTCAGAGGATTATGACACTCTGGGGTCCTACCTATGAACCTGGAGCCCCACAGGAGGAAGTGACTTGCTCAAGAACACACAGCAGTTTTGGGCCAGAGCCAAGCAGAAACATAATCTGTTTCATGGTGATGGGTATTTCCGTGGTGCTGCAATGGGTTGTTTAACCTTATTAAGCCAGTGACCCTGGCAGAGCTGCCTGCGCCAAGGAGGGGCCCGCCAGCTGGTTTCAGAGCACTGACTGCGTAACCTACCTGGCCGTGGGCCAGCTTCTGCTGTGTTCACCAGGAACCGTGTGCCCTTTGAGCCTCTATCCCTTTCTCGGGCCTCACCTTTGTCAGGCATGTTGGGAGACCAGAACTTGGAACTTGGTCTCACCTCTGAGAAGTATTTATTGCCCCCAAGTTCCGGGTGAGGAAACCGAAACTTAGAGAGGTGAGGCTCCTCCTCTGGAAGGTGACAGCCACTCGGGACCTGAACAATGAACTCGAGTGGGTTCGACGGCTTGTATGCGCTTTTTGGTTTGCTGCTTTCTACCACATCGTGTTGCCTCTGTTTGATTCCAATGGAGGGGTGGAGGAGGGACTTAGCCAAGTCAGATGTACGGATGCCTCCTTTTCCTCATGTCTTCCTCTGTGCTTCTCTGGCACGTGTTTGTGCCTGGGGAAGGAGACCAACCGTTGGAGGTGGCAATCTTGTTTCTTTTCAACTGCCCGTAACTGGGTGGTGGCGGCTGCTGAGATTGCCGTGGTAAGGATTCCGAGGCTGCTAGTAGGCTCAGGGGGAAAGATGCCGTACGGATTAGGGGTGAATGCTGTGAGCCCGGGCGTAGAGAGGCGACCGGCATGGCCCGTCATTCCTGGGAGGCCCGTGTGGCCCTCATCAGCACCGCTTTCTTCCACTTGGTGGCTGCCAGCTGAATTGTAGGAAAAAAAACGGTCGTGTCCCCTGGACGGAGCAGAATCTGCTGGGAGCAAGGGGGTGGCGGGCAGAGCACAGGTGGAGTGAAAGAAGAAACCCTCCTGGGAGGCTTCTGCCTTGACACTGAGCGCCGCCCCTTTGGGGGCCAGGACAGGGATCTTGTCTCAGACTTGCCCTGGAAGAGGAGTGTCTGTTGGCTGGAACTGGGGGCTCCTTCTGGGAAGAACCCAACATTCCTGATCAACTGCCTGAGCTCTTTTGGGATTGGTTAGGGGTTAGGGTGAGAGTAAGAATTCGACTGAGTATTTCCTACTCCGCTCCCCAGGGGGCTGGTGGAGGATCCCCAGTGAGAGGGGCCGTGGGGAAGGCGTGTTCGTAGCAGGAAGGGAAGTGCTGCATGCAACTCGAAGGAGGCGTTTGATGGTCCTCATTAGGCCCTCGGTCAACTCCACCATCTCTGTCCGCCTTGACCTCTGATTCTGCAACCATTGGGGACTTTCCCCCAAGGTTGGGGTGGGAGGGAGGAGAGGAGGGTGCTGCCTGCTGGTGGGGGCACCAGCACAAAGCATTCTCCGAAGAGGGAGTGGGGTCAGGGAAGCCCAAGACGAAATCCATCAGAAAGCAAACTCCCTGTGGGCGGAGCCCACGGCTTCCTTGCTCACCACCATGTCCCCAGTGGTTGGAACACAGTAGATGCTCACGAAATACTGACTATCCAAGTGGCATCACGTATCCTGGTGGGGGTGGGGGGACCGACTTCCAGAAGCCAGGAAGGAAGAGCAGAGGCCACCAGTTTTCCTGAATATTCCTACTTTATTTTTGGTTACATCATCACAGAGAAACGCAGTGGACGGTTCTGCATGCACCGGAAGGCGAGAGTGTGTTCTGGGCAGGGGGGCGGTTACATTGTTGGGGACGGCGGAGAGAGCGTGCGCCTGGACTGCGGGCTGAGCTTGCCACATGCTGATTCCAGCGCCAAGACCAGCGTCAGGCTTGGGCGACGCAGCCAGCGAGCTTTCTCCTCGGGGTGGACTGTGGGAAGGAGGGGTGCAGGGGAAGGTGGCAGCCAGGAAGCTGTTGGCCATCTTGGGGAAGGCGGGGAACTTGCTGTTTAGAAAGTGGTGACTGGGGATGAGAAATCAGTGACAGTCAATGAACCGCGCAGAGAGCTGGGGGTGGAGGACGCCGAAAGGAAGGCTGAAGGGTGTGCGTTTGGAGAAGGTGGGCGTCTGTGCGTCCACCTGACGACCTCTGCAGAGGTCGGCGGGCAGGCAGACAGGGCGGGGGATTTTCACAGGGCAACTGGGGAAAACCCAGACTTTCTCACAGGGCGCCGAAGGCTGCCCAAACCCAGCCTCAAACGTATGTGCGTCCTCACTGCCTTTTTCTCCTTAAACAATTTTTTTCTTTTTTTGGAAAAAGGCTGGATGATTCCTGACGGACTAAGAGCTGTTAGCATCAGGCTCTAAGTTCTAGATCTGCGATGCTGGGGTTGTATTCTTCCGATACACCTGGTGGAGAGGGTGGAAGGGGCAGAGACAGACCGACAGATGGAGACAGATAGGTTTGAGGCTATTCTGAGTGAGACTCGGAGCGAGGGGACAGTCAGAGCATCATGGATAGGAGTTGTGGGTTCATTAAACTAAGAGCAGAGGAAGGAGAAACCCAGTGCTGCGGGCCCTGGCGAGGCCCGCCTCGGGCCCAGAGCTTGGGTTTCCAGATACCTTCTGCGTGCACTTGGGGAGGCCCGGGGCCGAGAAAGCCCCTCTGTGGGGTGTCTACACAGCCTGCAGGATGCTGCCAGGCACCCGGGGCAGCCACCTGGAGGTGCCAACAGGAGAAGTGGGTGGCCTGAAGAGCTAGGGTCTCAGTGGAATTTCAGGTTCTGCTGGTCTGGCCTGTGAGAGGAAGCAAGGGGGTGAGGCGGTGTTCAGGTATTTTTTGCTTTTGCTATTTAACCCTTTTAGAGAGGGAGTGAAAAGGCAGGGAAAGAGATGGGGGTAGAAAGGGAGAGTTCTGTGTGGTGGATGGGACAGGAAGGGACAGAGAGCGGAGCGGGGGGGTGGGGGAGAGGCTAGAAAACAGGTGTGTTGTTTTTTTTTTGCTAGGAAGCAAATAGGTGCCATCCTGAAAGAGGAGGCTACCCAGGTCCCTTTGTGTATTTCGCATGGCCACTTCTTGAAGTATTTGGGGGCTGGGAGGGTGTGTCCCTAGTCACCAGGGAGCCTGAACACGGTGGCCTATTTCCCTGGCAACTGGGGGATATGTGCAGAGGCAGTGGGGGCCTGGTGGTTCTACTCTGCCCCCAAACACAAGGTCCCCACAGCGCTGAGGGGATACAGAGACGTGACACAGGAAATACAAGTTGTGTGTGTGTGTGTGTGCACCTGTTCGAGGCCAGGAGGGTCTAAAAACAGTCCTAAGTGATGAAAACCACGTGTAACTACCCACACTGGAAGGCTGTCGAATGAACAGCCCCCTTGGACAGATCCCCCCCCATCCCTGCCCGGACGGCTCCATCCCAGGGAGACCAGAAAGGGGCTGCGTTCGGAGCCCTCATCGCTTCACAGCAGCAGCAGCAGCAGCAGTGTGGCGGGGTAGGAGGCAGTCTTTGGCGGCAGTGCCCAAGGTGAGGGGGAGACCCCAAGGAGAGGCGCAGGGAGGGTGGCAGGGGACGGGGTGGCAAGGTGTGGAGAAGAGAGAGCAAGAGTGCAGTGGGCTGCTGGGGCAGGCTCGGGCAGGGGGCGGGACACGGAGCCGGAGACCTGGGCACCACCCTAATCGCTCGACACGTGGTTCTCGTTCTGCAGCTGGTGCCAGCGCTCGATCTTCTTATCCTTGTTTTTCAGACACTCGTACCAGTGTTTTAAGCGCTCTCCCTTGGCCGAGATGCCCAGCTGGCAGCCTCCTGGACGACAGGGGCAGATGGGGACAGGCAGTCAGAGTGGGGGGACACATGGGACTCTCGTTCAGGACCCAAACGTCTAATTGGAGAAAACTGCCACCGAGCAGGGATCCCCCCACCCCCGCCAGTGCCTCGGGATCCACTGTCCCCGGAGGGTGGTTGCCACGGTGTTGTTACTACCTACCTCCGGCCTTCCCTGCCTACGGGCTACCCGCTCAGGAACCCGCAGTGGCTCCCTATGGTCGTACCAAGTTGCCTACTTTTCAAGACCTCCCACAAAATCACTGCCCACACATGGAAACGTGCCTCCCACTGTGTTGAGAAACTCGTCGTCTGTTTTCAGAGAGTTTCATCACCCTGCCCAGTCCTGCCCCCACACCTTTGCTCACACCCTGCCCCATCTTCCACAGCTGTGGTCCCCCATCATTTGGAGGGGGGCTGGGAACACAGAACCCTCATCCTAGACCTGCCTCTGGATGGAGGAGACAACCTCTGCACCCTATTTTCTGCAGAGCCGCAGACCCCACGCTCCTGTGATCTAACTGTGCCACTGGGGGCGATGTGGTCAGCGACTGAGCAATCATGATCCAATCTTCTCGGCTCCGCAAGCCCTTTGGCCTGAAGGCAGACCCTCCGACTGAACCCACATCAGGACCGTGAGCTCTGACCCAGTGTTCGGACAGTGTGCCCCAGGAATAGAAAGGCCCTCGCGGCCGGGCAGCCCTGGCACAGGCTCGCCTCTCCCTCAGGGACAGGGGCGTGGTTTCTCAGGAGCGGGACATACTCACCGATGTAATCGTTGGACTTGCCGATGTCATAGTCCCAGACCGAGATGTCCAGGGACTTCTTGGCCAGGTCACTGTGTTTGATATCATAGAAGAACTCCTGAATGCAACAGAGGAGGACGTGGGAGTCAGAAGGTCCCCTGAGCCTTTGGGGTCTAAGGGGTTCATGGACTGATGGGAGGCCCTTGAACTAGGCATCCCGGGAGCAAGGGGGCCTTCCTGCTGAGCCTCTAGGCCAGGCCTGAAAATCCCTTTTCAACAAACATTCTGTAAAACGAAGCCCCTCCAGGCCTGTAATTCTCTCTCCAGTGACTCCGTGTTTGAAACTGGGGAGGCTGGCGGAGTTTTACTGAGAGCGCCAGTCCTGGTCAAGTTTCCTTGAAGGCAGCTGGCCATGAGCTCAGCCCCTCCATTCTGGTGGGCTCTAAAGTCGGCTCTCCCTTGTCACAGTTCAGAGATTAAAAGGTGGTTGAGGGGACTGAGACCAACATGAGCAATAGGTGCTTATGTTTCCAGTGCTTTGAAAACTCAATACGGATATTAATTAGAATATTATAGTGTATAAAATGTGTACCCTACTACATGAAATGTAATATGAATATACCATATCGTGGCTTTCATTTTCCATTTTATGTAACACAGTACCACGCTGGTGAACACTTTTCTGCATCACTGTTACAATGGCTTCCTCTTGTGGCCTTGTGGCTGTACCATGATCTAATGCCTGATGGGTATTTGTTTTTCATTTTTCCTGACCATTAACAAATGCGATGAAAGGCATCCTTGTGGCTAAACGATGTGTATGTCCACGATGACGAGGGAGTGCAGGGAGTGACACATTAGATTTGCGTTTTAGAAAGCTCATGCTTCTACGGAGGACAGGCGAGGTGCAGGGAGGTGAGTCATAGGTCTACTGCAACAGGCCAGGCATGAAACGCCAGGGTTTAAGCCAAGGCGGTAGGAGCGAACACAGAGAAAGGGGTGCATTCGGTGGGGATCTAGACAGTGGCTCTGGGAAGACCTGATGTCCTGGATGGATGTGGGAGGAGAGGGACAGGGACAGGGCAACACCAACTGGGTGGACGGGAAAGGATGTTACTGTCCCTGCTCATTCCCTCAAATTTCAGTATCCCAGGCTGTTCAAATTGGTGAAGATATTGGAGAAAATATAATTCTGTATTTCTTCAAACTTAGCTTCCTGCCTAATCTATAGGTTTTTATTGTTAGGCTTGATTCCCTCCAGTGACAGGAAACTCATTACCTATCCTTTAGATAATCCAAGCTGATCTATGAGAGAAAGGGTTTTTTGTTTGTTTGTTTGTTTTTTTGATGTGCCTGACAACCCCGGGGAGAGAGTTTCTTCCTCTCTCACACTCAGGGACTATTCCGTAGCACGGCAAAATGGGGCAGCCTCACCTCATTAAATTCAGGATTCAAGGTTTTCTTCTTAATTTGTGTCTTGTGTTTGGCCTTCTTTCCCATGTCTGGTTTCAGCCAGCTGAGAGGAGACATGAGAGGCTGTCAGGAGTGAGGTTTAATGGCTAAGAACAGCCCGTTGGTGACAGGACCCCAAAGGCTCCTTCCAGTGTCAGGAGAGTAACAGGCAAGCAAATCGGAACTCGAATCGACGTTGATGGTGGCCGTGTGCAGCAGAGTAACCCTGGTGCCAGGTGCTGCGCACCTGAGGTGCATTTAACCTGCCACACACCCTCGATGCCAGAACTACAACCACCCACTTTACCTACAAGGAAACCACGGGGCCAGAGGAGTGGAGACAGGAGCCTCAGGCCACACAGCAGGGACTGAACCCAGCTGTTGCCTCTGGAGCCTGTGCTCTGAGCCAGGACTTGCTCTCAGTGGACCAGATTGAGACCCTGGGCGGCTGTGCCTGGCATTTCACCGCCTGTCGCCCCTGGGTTGGCTCCAACTCCTGGGGAGGTGGCCTGTGTATAGGCAAAGGGGGTAAAAGCCGCAAATCCAATTGCTGTCGTTGTCGCTCCTCTGCTCAAACTACTGCACTTTGTCCTGAGGGTGAAGTTCACGGTCTCCAACGTGGCCTTCAGAGCTGGTGAGGTTGGTCCCCGCTCTAGACCAGCTGACTCTCATGGCCTGCTCTTCACCCCACTTCCCACTCACTCTCCTTCCAACCCCAGGGCCTTTGCACACGCTGTTTCTGCGCCTGGAAGGCTCTTCTCTCCATAGGCACAATGCCTGGCACATAGTAGGAATACGATCAGTATTTTCTGGGTCACCCTGAGGCACCCTGCTGTCTCTACAGCCCTCCTCCAGTTCCCTCTCGACTTCCCTCCACAGGCGTTTGTTTCCCCCAACAAATCCCTTGTACATTTCATCCTGCCTTGGTTCCTGCTTCTAGGAAACTATTATTTCTTCCCATTGTACAGAGAAGGACCCTGAGGCCCAGAGATGTTAAGGCGTGAGCCGAAGGTCACAGAGCTAGAGAATACTGAAGGTGGCTGATCTAAGATTCGAACCCAGGCAGTCTGGACCCAGAGCCCAGGCTCCCCTCCAGATCCGTGGGAACACATACTTTGCTGCCACGAGGCAGGCCAGAATTCCACCGAGAGCAGCTAAATAGCTCTGGACCGGGCTCAAATCTAACTGCTGTATCTATGTTACCTCATTTGGCCTTATGCCTCATCCTGGAAATAAGTGGAACTATTGCCTCCATCTTACCAAGGAAGAGTCTGGAAGCTCAGAGAGGTTAAATAACTTGCTCAGAGTCACACAGCTAGCTGCTGCCAGAGGTGGGGGTTGAACCCCATGTCTGATTCAAAGGCAGCATGAGAATGCGCCCGGCGGACCTCCGACTACAGGGGGCCCAACCCACCACGGCCCCAGCTGCTGTGCTTGGCAACCCACGCCACGTTTTTGCCAAGGCCACGCCCCCAGCTAACAACCACATGTGGCGGGGACACTATGGCAGGCCCACTCCATGTGACATGGGGTCGATGGCCGATTTTGACCTAAGGACTCCCCACGGCCTTGCTGAAGTTGTGTCCGGGAGGCTTCCGCCGACCCCGCCCTCCCTCAGGCCATGTGACTGCTCTCCCCACCCCCCTCTCCCTCCCGCCCGTGACACAGGCAGTTCCCTTAAGGAAACTCTTGTTGTTTAGGCCCATTGTGACATTTTTTCAGAGGACCCTGACTGACACAGGTGACAAAGTCGCTCCTAGTCCCCAGGAGTCAGGTTGCTGGGATAACCCCCACAGGCTAAGGTCTTCTTTCTGCACATTTCCAGACTGAATCTGGAACGGCCACACTGCCTCTCTGGTGGCAGGGCTCCGGCTGGGTGGGGGCGAGGTGCTGATTCTGGGGAGCTACCAATGGGGCTGCTGTGACCTTGCTGACTGTCCCTCTCCCACAGGAGGGGACCGAGCCGCAAACCTCTCGTGTGGGTAAGTGACACAGCAGTCTGGAGGCTCCACCCTCACACTTAGCCAGCTCTGGTGGTCTGTGTCCCTGTGTGACATCGGGCAGGTCCGTCTCCCTCTCTGGGCCTCAGTGTGCAATGGCGTTGGGGAAGCCCTCTGGTCCCCCTTTTACAAGGACCTAAGGCCCCCTGAGGGGCAGGACCACAGTCCCAAGGCACTGACTCACAGCTTGACGAAAGGATCTGAGTAGCCATTGGCATCCATGGCGGCCAGGTGCACGCAACGAATGATGCCCACGATGAGGCCCCCCTGCTGTGTGCTGTACATGAGGGACACCAGGATCTTGCCACGCTCCTCTATGTCACCAATGCGCTCCACCTGCTGCAAGAGGGGAAGAGGGTGCGTGAGCCTGGGAGCGGAGCAGGCCAGGAACTGGATGGGAGCCTCAGGCAGGGGCTCACTGGAAGGTGGAGGAGCCGGGCCAGAGCTAGTGCATTCAGTACCATGGACAGCAGGCCCTGCCCCGCCCCCCTCCATCCTCCAGGGAGAGGGTCTGGTGAAAGCCAAGGAGAACCAGTCTGAAGCACAGGAGACCAGTAGTTTTACTTCATCCCAGACACAGGCTAAGCCCTTACTCTGGTGACGGGCTGAGTCTGATCCTGGTCAGCGATGACCCGATTCTGCCACAGGACTGAGCCTTGACCCTGAGTTCAGACGCCCCTGACACCACCAGTCTTCCCACAAAGGCAGTCCCTGGGGTCACACAGGGCCCGAGGTTGATGGCCTGGCTGTGCAGCCCAACTCCAGCCTTGGCCACACACACAGCCCAAAGCGACACCCCACGGAGGGACAGTGGCCTTGCTCTAGTCCTGCAGGATCCCTGGCAGGGCTTCTGCCAACAAGGCCAAGGAGTTCAAGGGTGTCCCTGGCGTGAAAGGATGGGACTCCCCTGACCTTGGGCTCCAGGTGGGAAAAGCATCCACCTGGGTCTCATGTCCCAAAACTTTGGGCAAGGGCAGCTCTCATGTGACCCAAGGGGCAGGAGAAAGAGTTGAGATGGGGCCAGGGAGGGAAAGAAAGGGAGATGCCAGGGCCGGGCTGTGGCTTCGGTACCCGCTCCGTGCTCACCTCCTCCTCATAGAGGGCCATGCCTCGGGCGGACCCGGTGGTCCCGGCGCGCTTCATCTTGGGAGGAAACAGAAAGGAAAGAGAACATTGTCTATGGGGCTCACCTCCCTGGGCGAGAAGGACCAGACGCCCCTCAGCCCTCCAGCAGCACCCAGGACAGGCTTTCCAAGCCCGTGCGCTCCCCAGCTTTCCCCTCTTTAGCTGAATTTATAACACTAACCACTTGACGCCATGTGAGTGCACCATAACCTATGCAGTAGGTTGTATTAATAGCCCCACTTTACAGGTGAGGACACAGAGGATCAGAGTGGTTAAGCCACTTGGCCAAGGTCACACAGCCAATAAGTGGCAGAGCGCCCCATACACAAAACAGACAGGATTTGATCTGTGCTGGCTGAAGTGGCACAGTGGTCTTGGGGTCTGCCACCAGGTGCTTCTTCCTCCATGGCTCCCGAGGTCCTTCTGGGGGATTCTGAGGCTCTGGGGAACAGAGTGTGACAGCGCTGGTTAAAGACAACCTGCCCATTTTAGAGATGAGGGAAACTGAGGTCCAGAGGGGAGGAGGGGACAGCGCTTATGCAGCCCCTGTTCTTGGTGGGGCATATGAGGGGAGTTGGTGGTGGGAGGGCCAAGGACAAAGCAAAAGGTGATGGTGAGCAGAGGCCTGTGTGGTCCGCCACCTCCCAGCCTCTGGGGCTGGCTGTGTCCATCAGAGCAAGGTGGGCGGGCCCAGGAGCTGCTGACTCAGGCGGGGGCGTGGCCACTGTACGACACTGAGTGGGGGAAGGAAGGGGAAGTAAGAGGAAGCCCGAGGAACCCGCTGTCGCCAGGCAAAGACCCAGCGGGAAGGCGCCACTCCAAGGGTTGCCCGCAGTGATTTATCTGGGACCTGGCACTCGGTGTAAATTCTTCCTTGTGACTGTCATTACTGTGGCTTGTTCCTTCGCCTGTGCGGTAGGAGCCGGCACACAGCACTTGGATATTGCACCTGTGGGCCCGCCATCTGGTGGGAGGTTGCTACAAGCTTCCCCGTCCCACCTGACACGGCCTCCCCGTGGGGAGCTGGCCCTCTGCCCGGGGGAGGCAGGCGTGCTGGCGGCTGCAGGGGACCTGGCCCTGGCCGGTGCCGAGAGCACAGCCGCTGGTGTGCAGTGTGACGGGGGCGACTTGCTCCCGCTCTGGGCCCCAGGTGGCCCGTGCGCCCAAAAGGGCAGGTCGGATTGTCTCTAAAAATACAGGTTGCAGGCCCTGCCCTCTCTAAGTCAGGATCTTAGTTTTAAGGTGCTGATTTTAAAATCGCCAGTTGGTTCTGAGGAGCAGCCCAACTGGAGGCTCTCAACTTGGTTCTCGTTCTTTCTCAAAAGGCAAGTATCACATCTACTTATAATAACTGGCTCTCTACTCTCCCATTTTATGGATGAGAACACAAGGCCCAGAGCGGTTAAACAACTTGGCCCAGGTTTAGAACAAATAGCAGAGCCAGGATTCAAACCCAGGGATTCTGGCTCCAGAGTCCTTGCTCTAGCATTGTGCTATCTTGCCTTCTGCTTGTGTGCATGGTGCTTTATGGCTTCATGAGTGACAGGTGGGTAGGGCAGTATTATTCCTGTAATAACCACAGGTAATAAGCGATGGTGCTTACTGTGCACTGGGTTCTGTTCTGATGTCTTTCACACAACGCTCCCACGCGGCAGTTACTGAAAGCCCAGGTGCAGATAAGAAAAACTGAGGCTCAGAGTAGCTCAGACATTTGGCCAGGGCCAGGGAACAGGGTAGTCTCAGAGCTGGGCTTTGAACCCAGGCCGGCCACACTGCCACACGGCTCTGCCCTCCCCAGTTTTATCAAAGAGAACCCTGCTGTTCAGAGAAGTGAGGCTCGCACGGGGCCGTAAAAGGCAGAGTCAGGGCACAGTCTCGATGCTCCAAGCGGAAATCCTTACCCTTCTCTCAATAGCAGCCACATCTCTGCTGCCTGGGCAGCCTGCAGGCCCAGGGGAAGGCTGCACCCCCAAATGCTCCCCCCGGCCTCAAGCCCCCAGGAAGAGGCACTCACCGGGATGACCCGCTCCAGACAGATATTGAAGTTCTTCCTTTGGTTGGGCTTCAGCTTCTTGAGAGAGAACCTGGTCTCGCCGATAAACTCGTTGTGGCCAAACTTGTCCTCATCGCAGACAGAGATCCTGCAAGTGCAGACAGGGTGGGGTGAGAAAGACGAGCACGTGCTCTTACTACGTGCCAAGAACTGTGATGGGTGCTGGCAAGGAAGGTGTCATGTGCGCAGGGACATTTCAGTTTCTGTGCATTGCGCCCGCAGCCAGGTAGTTTTCATGGAGTCTTTACTGCAGGGTAACTTGCAAGAGTGATGGGCACGGATCTTAAATGAATGGCTTGCTGAATCATTCCCATGCACACACCCACCTAACTGCTGCCGAGATCGAGATATAGAACATTACAGCTCTCAGAAGACCCTCATGGTCCCTTGCTGCCTCCTCCAAGAGAACCACTCTCTTTGACCTCTGGCCCCATGGGTTCATGATCCTGTTTTTGACCTTTATATAAATGGAAGCGAATGGCTTCTTTCACTTAACATGTATGTGAGATTCATCCAGGTCTATAGTGACCTGTCCTTTTTATTGCTGTATAGTAGTCCACTGGGCAAATATAACATCCTAATTCAGCTACTGACAGGCATTTGGTTTGGGGCTATTTCTGGTTTTGAGCTATTAGGAATAAAGCAGCAATGGCGCATCCACATTCCCGTCTTTTTTGTACGCACTTGTGTACATGCTGCGCCTTGAACAACGTGGGGCTTAGAGGTGCTGACCCACTGTGCCGTCAAAAATCCATGTATAACTTTTGACTCCTCCCTCAAAACTTAACTACTAGCAGCCTACTGCTGGCCAGAAGCCTTACAAATAATATAAAGAGTTAACACGTGGTCTGTTTATTATATGTATTGTATGCTATATTCTAGCAGTAAAATAAGCTAGAGAAAAGAAAAAGTATTGAGGACACGATAAGAAAATACACGTGCTGTATTTATTGAAAACAATGTACATGTAAGTAGACCCTGGAGTTCAAGCCCAGGTTGTTCAAGGTCAACTATAAGAAACTGAGAGCTGGGTTCATGGGTGTTTGCTGTACTGTAATCTACAGTTTTCTGCAAATTTGTACTGTTTCATAATGAAACTTAAAAAAAATCTGTAATCATTTCATTCTGTGGAGGACTCCAAAGCAGTTGAAATTAGATGGATCTAAACATCTCTTGTGGCTGTAACTCCAGGACATATTGTCAGGGAAAAAGGAAGGTTCCGGATATAAACAGCATGATACTCTCCATGCTGCTAACAGGAGTCTGAAGGTGCAGAGACCCCCAGGAGGAGGTGGCAGACCCAGGCCGAGGGAGGGAACTAACGTTTAAAAGGGGCTTTGCATTCTCTATTGTTCTTTACAGAAGAGTGTACCTGGGTATTACTAGTACCATTAAAATGCAGTGTAAGACAGCGTTACAGAAGAAGATGAGATGCGTCAACATATTGTTAAGTAAGACAGGTTGATTAGTTACGAGGATGGTCTGTCTTTCAAAACCCTCAATTTTATAAGGACCTTTTGCATGTGTGTGCGTCTGCACACACACACACACACACACACCCGACACCCAGACACTGAGAGGTTAAGAGTTTCACTTATTGGTATTCTTAGAAGTTTTTACCGGAAACACATACTGTTTTGTAAAAGTAAAAAAAAAGGAAAGAAAAAAAAAGTATGCGGAGAGGTTTTCAAAAGTGACCGCCGGGAACCACACGAGTGTCTCTGCCCACCCGCTGGGCGGGTACCTGAGGGTCTTCCTCTGCATGTCCTCGTCTGTGATGCCGTGGTAGACGAGAGTCTCGTTCCAGATGGGGTTCCGGGTGTTGCGCAGGGTTTTTGTCCGGAGCTTGTTGGACTAGAGCCCAGAGAGACAGACAGACAGACATGTGCGGTGGTGGGGAACCGGCCCTGCAGCCAGTCCTTAGGGCTGATTTAGGGTCGGGGTGGGGGAGTGATTTGGGAGACTTTCCCTTTAGGAGTGTCCAGGGGCTCAGCTGCTCCTGAGTGCACGTCCCGGGGAGTGCGGGGCATGCTCTGCAGTGAGGACCATGGCCATCGACTGCGATGGACGCTGATCCACCCCTCCACCCACACACGGGGCTCTCTCCTTAAACTTTCCAATAAGATCAGAAAGCAGAGACATTTCCCTTGAGGAAAAACTCCTACATAGGTCAGGGAGGCAGACGTAAGTGTCATCCACTCCTAGGCAGTAAAGGAACAATTTCTGGGGATACTGGGAAGGTTCCACGTTTCCCCAAGTAGCACCCTTCATGCTGAAATTCATTAGGGGGAAGGGACAAAAGTTTTCATTTCACTGTAAGAGAGAAGGCTAAAAATACACTACACCCAGAAGAGGTGGTCTGGTAACAAATCTAATTCACACTAACATGTAAATGACTCACTGGATTCCCTGGCAAAGCAAGTTTGGATTTAGGAGTGAGCAAAGGAGAGCAGCTTAGAGAGAAGCAAATGTCACTGGGGAGCTGGAAGTAGTAGTGGCCAAACACTTCACAGTTCAGCCATGGCCAGGTGAGGGACTGTTATTTCTTGATCCAAAGAAAGAGAAGATACTGCGCGCGCGTGCGTGTGCGCGCGCGCGCCTTATACACACACAAATGTCTTATGGGCATTCGATCCTTGCAGAGATTTTTAACACACACTTTCCCAAGACCATGCAACCAAGGGCAGGTCCCCCTTGCATTGAGAACATCCTCATCAAATTAACAAGACAAAGCCCAAAGTCAAACCCAAGGAGGCACCCTGCAGCCACGTGCTCTGAGTGGGCCCGCCCAAAAGTGAAGATCTAATCCCATTTTTCCTCCCCAGAGCAAAGTCAATGTCAGGTGAGCTGCCAGGGGAAAGAAAGTGGGTGGGGGGGACCTTTTCTCTCAGTGAAAGAACATTAATCATCTCAGTGCTGAGCCCTGAAGCCTGGAGGGAGTTATTCATTTCGATTGAGAGGGAGGGAGTGCTTGGTTGGGGCACAAAGTGGGAGGGGAGAGGGGCCATGCTCAGCACTGGGGAGCCACAGAAGGCATCTGAGCAGGTGAAGAGCACCATCGGGGCGTCCCCTTCTCTCCTGACCTTTGGAAGTTCCTGGACGCCAGGCTTGTGGGCTGGAGAAATGGGCAGGACTCCTGGCCCACCCTCAGACCTTGCGAGGACTCTGCCGCTCAGGGAGGAGGGGGTTTGGGGGCAGAGAGGGCTATTTTAGGCTCAGAGCTGGGAACCCCGGGTGCCTGCCAGGGCCCGTGTGCCTGGCTTGCCGAGAGGCCCAGGCCATATGGTACCTTGCTGGCTCCCGGCAGGAGGTGCAGCTTAACGTAGGGATCGGCCAAGCCGTTGGAGTCCATGGGCTTCAGTCCCTGCAAGAGAAAAGGCAGCGGAGTGAGGGCCTTGGAGGCCTGGCCACTCAGCTGTCATGGGCACTGGGTGCAGCCCGTGGCAGCTGCCCGTCCACCGGCCCACCCTAGGTGCTTCCTCTTCTGGAGAGAGAGAAGGGAGATGCGGTGCGTTGTGAAAAGAGCTCCGGAATCCGGCAGACGGGGCTTAAAACCTGGTCACGTCACTTCCTGGCTGTGTGGCCTTTGGCGAGTTGCTGAGCCTGCCCGAGCCTCGTTTTCCTCACAGGTCAAACGGGGTGAGAACAGTGCCTGCTTCACACACGGTGAGCCTTACACACGACTTCGCCTGGAGCGCGCCCGGCACAGGGCCTGGCACGTAGGAATGGCCCCATCGAGGCTGCATGGCTACTAGTGGGACGGGAGGAGGCGGTCCAGAACAGGAAGGGCAGGAGAGGGAGAGGTGGGGGAAGGAGGCCTGGGTTCTCGCCCCGCCCCTGCACTCCCTCCTGAGACCTCGGTTTCCCCCTCCAGATGCTGGGGACCGCTGTGTCTGCCTGGCCTCCTTCCCAGGGCTGGGATGAGGGTCAAATGAGACCCCGGGGGGCAGGGAGTTTGTCGGGGGTAGGAATGAAGTGGGGCTTGTTAACACGAGCGACTCCAAAGTCCCCGGGGTTCAGTCACACACTAGCCCTCTCCCCACGCCCAGGCTGGGACAGGTGTCCCACCTCTGGACTCCCACTGTCCCCTTGCCCACCACTTATCTTGAAGCCCAGGTATCACATCCTGTGATCTCCTTGGACCTCGGTTTCCTCATCTGTTCAATGGGGCTGATCACAGCCCCTGTGCTTCGTGGGGTTCTTGCAGGGATTAAACGAGGGCTCGCCTGTGAAGTTGGAGCTCTGGGCCTGGCCCAAGGACGTGTGGACAGCGCCGGCTACTACTAGCTGGGAGAGGATGCCGCGGAGTGGGGAGAGCGGCAGGGCCACCTAGTGGGCAAGAACACAGGCCTTTGAGCTGGACTGCAGTGGTTCACATACCAGTGCCACTACTTCCTGGCTGTGCGATCTGGGCAAGTCATTGAATCTCTCTGTGCCTCAGCTTCCTCATCTGTAAAATGGGAATGATGCTAGAACCTTCCTCACAGGCTGCTGTGAAGATTAAATGAGGTGAGGTAAATCTATAAAAAGCCCAGGTGGTTTATAATACTCGGGAAATGCTACAGTGACTCGGGAAATGCTACAGTGATGGGTTTTTGTCAGTTTCTCGGGGGGCGTCCATGAGAGCAGGGCCTATTCTTGCCCACTCTAGCATCCCCAGTATCTGGGGCAGTGCCTGACAGAGAGTAGGTGTTTAAGGAACATTTCTGGGATGACTGTTCGGGTTGCAAGGTTACCAACTGACACGCACTCTGCCTTTAAAATCTGAACGCCTTTGAGTGGGGCTTGCACACTTGTTTACCAAAGTCACTACCACTTCCTAGCACCTCAGATGGAGGGCCTCCCTTGGCAGGCCAGCCCATGAGGCTTGGAGGTTCCTGTACCCGTCTCCTTCTCTGGAGCTGCAGAAGGAGGCTGCATGAAAGACCGACCGGTTAAGGACCTGGGGCCAGAGCCTGTTCCATCTGGACTCCAGTCTGGCTCTGCCCTTTACCAGCGGTGTGACTCCAGGTTTTGACGGTCTGAGCCTCAGTTTTCCCATCTGTACATTGGGGCTAAAGATGCTCCCTATCTCCGAGGTTCCCGTAACGGTGAAACAAGATCTGTAGGTACTTACCTCACTGTGTTATTCGGGGGAGGGGGCTAGATGCATCTAAGTGCCGCCGCAGCAACCGGCACACAAGAGGTGCTCAATAAATGCTTGCTGAAGAGGTGACCGTGGTGTGCTGGTCTAGCAGTGGTGTTACACATTTCATACCTCGTTTATCATGCAAACCGGGACATTTTGTGAGCGAGGGGGAGTCTGTCATTATTACAGCAAAGCAACAGGCATAGATGGGGACTGTCCTGAGAAAACCGGAGCCCGCGGCCACCTTGCATTTAGTACTTACAGTCATCCCTAAGGGGGAGATGCTTTATTATCCCCAATTTACAAATGGACACACTGAGGCACAGAGAGGTTAAGTAACTTCCCCCAAGTCACACAGCTAGGAAGCAGCAAAGCTGTATTTGGACCCAGGCAGTCTGGTTCCTGGGCCTGGCTTGTTCTGCCTGGATCAGATTTGGGGTGTGGGGGAAACCCTCATCAGTTACCTGCTGGGATCTGCACTGACAGCCCCGGCTTTCCTCAGGGTCTGGAATTTGGTGGGCACACTCCCCCGGAGCTGGCAGGGTGGGGACAGTCTTCCACCTGGGCCTGCCTTTCCTGGCCCCCTCTGAAGCCTGCACTGGTGTCCTTGTGTCTGTACCAACGGGCCAACTCCGGCTGCCAATCCAGCTTCAGAGCCACACCCACCGAAGGGGCTGTTCCGTGGCCACATCGGCAGTCAAATCAGGCTGTTGTGGCCTCTGGGGTGGGCAGTGCCTCTGCGTCCCCTCCAGAGCTTTCAGCTGCCTCTGCCCCGGGGAGGCAGCTGCGCATTAAATGACGCCCCCCGCCCCCCGGCTTATTTCCAGAGGACACAGGCCCCTAGGATACTGGCTGTGGTGAGATTCTGTCTCTTTCTCTTTACTGCCATTGCCACAGAGAGACAAGGCAACAGACCTGGGCCTGGTAACCCACGTCCGCCCCACGCCCACCCCACGCCCCCTAGAGATGCCCGAGCAGCCCGAGGGGTCCCTCACCCACCTTGGCCTTTATGATGGTGCAGTTCAGGGAGCTGTTATCCTGGTCGTAGAGGAGGCTGAACTCCAGGGCACCCAGGGTGGCTGGAGGGGGCAGGGGTGGGAACCGAGAGAACATTCACTCAGTCATTCGACAAACATTTCCTGAGCGCTGAGAACGTACCCTGGATGGGCTAGGCATTGAGCCTACAGAAGAGAGGGAGACTCGGTCCCTGCTCTGGGCACCCCATGCTGGTAGATCCCAGCTGTGGTCCGTGAATGATTCGTTAATGACTTCGCCTAGTTAATGACTCCCTGTCCTGCCGGACGGAAAGATCCGGAGGGCAAGGGCTGTGTTTGTCCTGCTCACGGCTGTGTCCACGTGGGGCGCAGTGCGGGGAACACAGTCGCTGCTCACTCACTTGCTGGAGGAGTCTTAGCATGTGCTGTTGCCGCTGCCTTGGAATGCTCTCCCTCTAGATCCTCACGTGGCTGGCGCCTTCCCACGATCCATGCCTCAGCTTGGATGTCACCTCCTCAGACAAGCCCTCCCCGATCACTCCACCTAAAGCAGCCAGCCCCACGGTCACCCGCCCTGCTTTACTTCCTTCATGGGGCTGTGTCCATTTGACGTGAACTCGCTGCCATGTCAGCTGTTTCTCTCCACTAGAACATTAGTTCCTCAGATCAGCCAACTTGTCTGTCATTTTTTGGTCATGGTATTCCTAGTGTCTAGAACAGTTTGGGGCGCTTAGTAGGTGCTCAATAAATACACATAAGACAGAGAGGAGTGAGTGAGGAATCTGGAGGTGGGCTTGTTAGGAACCACTGTGGACAGCCCAGAACAGGGATGGACACAGGCTGGGAGGGACCGTGTGTGACGGGCCAGTGAAGAGACACATAAGGCACATGGACAAAGCAGTGGCCACTGTTCCAGGCAGAAGGGCAAGGGGGGCAAGGATGCGGAAAGGCAGGCAGGTGGGACAGACAGGGGACGCGTCCAGAGCGGAAACAGCCTCTGGTCGACCAGGTAACGTGGACTCCCTGACTCCTTTCCCCGCAGACCCTTGGGAGAGCACGGGGACGGAGGGGACAACTGACAGGTCACCGAGCTCCAGCCTCTGATCTACCACAGCAGCCACCCCCAGGCTCCGCGGGAAGGTGACGTGAGCACACGCCAGGGCCGCACTGAGAAAGGTGCCCGGCACGGAACGAGTGCTCAGCAAGCGTGGACCACGGCCCCCTCTGGGGTGCGTGTCACGTGGTACTAATTCCTCAGGTGTGTTGAGCACTACATAGTGGAGATTCCCAGTTCGCCGAGCACTTTCCCAGGGGCTTCCTCAGTTTACCGCCCCGTCAGTCCTGTATAAGAGGCAGCATTCTGCTTCTTATTTTACAAGGAGATGAGGTGACATGATGGGCCAAAACCATGCCGCCGATGACAGCCCTCCATGCAGGTGCAGTCCCTCCGTGTGACCTCGAGCTCCTGGAGCCTCCCCCCGTCCTGTGACACACACCAGGTGCGGCCACGTGCCCGTCTGTGCCTCTCCCCGGCTCACAACCCCCCAACCCCCGGCTCTCCTCCGCTGCTCCGGCCACGCTCGGGAGAAGTGCCGGGGGGTGGGGTGGGGTGTGTGTGTGTGTGTCCATCCCTGGGACTTGGGGCCGAGGTGGGGGGGTGTAAAACGGGCACTTCATGCACCACTGAGTGGGTGGGTGTAGGAGGAAACACACAGAGCCTTTTAGATGGGTGACGTCGACTTTCAGAAGCCGGGCACTACAGAGTGTTGGGATGGGCTGAAATGCAGACAGGCCCAGGCGTGGATGTTGGGCCCGTCACAACCCGACGTGTGACGTGTTGAGGACCTGGACACAGCGGAACCGCACTCTTCACAGTGACGTGAATGGCGGCTGGGATGCTGAGCGTCTTTCATGACAGTAAAACGTGTTTATGTGGCACCTACTGTGTCAAAAGTTGACGTCCTCTTGTGACTCTAGTAACACGAATTTGTATTTTTATAGCGTGGTCACTGCATTTGTCATGTCTGGCACGTTGGGGGGACCCGGAGGGGTGCATGGGGCTGTCCCTCCTATATCCCTGGGGGTGACCCTGCAGGAGTTTTTCCCAGACACCCCCCCCTTACGTGCCACCTACTTGCTTCATCTGAATCGTAGCTGTTGGCTTCTTCCTCATCCTCCTCCGGGGGTGGGGGCTGGCGGGCGGGGGTGGCGGCAGGCTGGGGGGCAGCCGCAGACACGTGGGAGTAGGGGCCCGGCGGGTGGCCCGCTCTGTCCTCCCTGGCTCCGACTCCTCCGGGTCTGTCCTCCCGGGGTGGGGCAGTGGCCCCTGTATAGCCGGGGTCACCGGGAGCCACCTCTGCAGGGGACAGGGAGAGGACAGGAAAGTGACCCACTGAGGGCCAGGTACCCAATGTCTCTGGGCCGTGGCGTCCCCATCTGTAAAGAGGGGATTATAATGTCTGCAGGCACTCGAAGAGTAGTAGCTATTATTTAAGAAATGATCTAACACAGCACTTAAAATCGTACGTGGTGCATTAGAAAGCAATGACCTCGTTGTAGCCACGGTGATGAATGTGATGATGACGAGGCCTCCATAGTCTATATAATAGTCACTGTCACTTAGCGTGGTCTTGATACATTCTGGGCCACGAGCCAGGGTTTTATGTGTGTGGGTGTGTTTAGTCCTCGTAACAACTCTGAGGGGCAGGTCCTCCGGTCGCTCCCATTTTAGAGGTGAGGAAGCAGGCTCCGGGAAGTTAAGTGGCTTGCCCAGGGTCACAGAGCCGGGAGGGAAGGAGCAGGGACTTGAACCCAGGCAGGGTGGGCTCTCAGCTACTCCACGGGCCACCCTTTCCCATCTGTCTAATCTTAGTGTGGATTATCTAGAGCTCTGGGATCCGGGAATGGGGCGGCTTAGAGCTCATCACGTGGGTCTCAGGGCGCAGACTGGGTGGGAGAGAGGTGGCCGCTGGGGCCGGCCGGGGAGGAAGCGAGCACTTGCCTGGTCTCTGGTCAGGAAAGCGTCCAGCTGGCCCAGGGCCGGGTCTGCTGCCTCCTGGGGGCCCTGCGTGGAGAAGAGAGAGAGCAGAGAAGGCGGCATCATTTGGGTGCCCACCCCTCATCTCCCGCATTTCCTGAGCACGGACACAGGTCCAGGGGGAGCAGGTGATGTGCAGAGGTACCGGGGCTGCAGGGATGCTCCCGTGGGGGATTCTGGGACCAGGAAGGCCTGGGTTCCAGCCCCAGTGCTTCCCTCCTGGGCCTCAGCTCCCTGCTCCGTGAGACCCTACCCGGCTGCTGCAAAGCCCATGAGCGAATGGGGTGGGCACTGACTGCGAGGAGGTGTGCAAGTTCACGCTCCGAATCCATCAGTGCCGCAGCCTCGGTCCTGCTCTGTGGAGTCTCTACAACCTCATTCCCCACCCTGGGGGGCGCGGGGGTGGGAGGAGGACCCACAGAGACGGGGCATGAAATTACATTCAACAACACGCGAGACAGTCACTATTGCCTTTCAATGCTGATTCCAGAAAGTCTCGCTTGGGTGTGGCTCGGTCTCTCACCCCTCTTCAAACTTCGAGAATTTCCCTTTTGAACACAAGGGGACAGGCCTCAAGCTTGGAACCTTCTTAGGCCAGAGGACTGTGCATTTCATTGCAATGTTTAATTTTCATGATGTTAACAGGTGTCCTCTGCTATGGGCTGAATTGTGTTCCCCCAAAGCTATCCAGGTCCTCAGGCCCAGTACCTGTGAATGTGACCTTAGGAGGAAGAGGGTCTTGGCGGATGGTGAGGTTAAGACGAGGTCACTAGGGTGAGCCCTAATCTGATGTGACTGTGTCCTTATAAAGAGGAGACATTTGGACACAGAGAGAGAAACAGGCAGGGAGAGAAGGAAGATGATGAGAAGACATGGGGGGCGGGCCATGCCCAAGGCCACGGGCAGCTGAGGAGGAAGGAGACAGATTCTCCCTTGCGGCCTTGGCAGGAACCGCCCCACCGACACCTGGAGTTCAGACTTCCGGCCCCCAGGACGTGGAGACAGCACATTGCTGTTACTGGGAGCCCCACAGCCTCTGCTTCTGTTACCCTCTCTCTTCACGGTACGGGACCCCGGTTCCCCACTCACGCCGCCAACTCCGGGCTCTCCTACTCCCCCAAACTGGAACCCTGCCAGTTAGGCAAGATTTCCTTTGCCTTTCACAACTCACGTTTGCTCAGAGGTTCCCACGGTACTCATCTCTTGCTCACCATTTCTTCCCGAGTCTCACACAACCCTCAGGGGACAGCTGTCATTTTATGAAAGCCTGATGTCCTTACATTTTCCTTGAGAGGGTTCATGGTAGTAAGTCCTCAGTTACATTTGGAAACTGAGTCAATTTGAAGAAAGGTATCAAGGAAGTAAGAGGGCAGATGGGGGTGCATGCCGGAGAGATGGTGACAAGCCTTGGGGCCTGGACACAGTGAGGAGAGAGGTGCTGTCGCTCCTTGTATTAGGCGGCTAAGATGCCCTCTCCTGCCCTGCTTGGTGCCCCAGCCCCCAGCGTTACTCATTCTAAGGGTCTCAGAAGAGCTTAAGATTCGGTGGTGGGTGCAGGTTTGCAGAAAGCCGGGGCTCCCCTGGTGAGGATGGGAGGAACCGGGGTCACCACTGAGTGACATGGCAGCCTGGGTAGCTCAGTGGGTCGCAGGTACCTGGCTGCCCAGGTTGAGGAGGCACCGGGCTCTGCACTGAGGCTGGGGCTGGTCTGGAGGCCTGGACTGAGTTGGCCCGTCTCAAGCCTGGAGGAGAAAGAAAGGGAAACAGCCTGTCACGTTACACACATGCACACACGCATGCACACAGAGGAACCAAGTAGAAGCTGGGACTGGCTGGCCAGCATGAAGCAATGCCTTCTGGATTTGAATGCAGCCCCCCATACTCTTAGCTCCTTCAAATTCTGCCCTGTAGAACATTCTCTCTTTCCACCACTCAGACCCCTGGGCAGGTCACAGCTGCTGCCCGGATACTGCTGAAAAGCACAGGTTTTCTGACATTGCTCCCGCCTGTGTGAGCCAGCACAAATGGCCCCTCCCCTCTGGGCCTCAGTCTCTGCATCTATTAAAGGGGGATGAGAGTACCTGCCGCAGAGCGTGTGGCGGAGATGCAATGATACAACACGTGCGGAGTGCTCAGAACAGGGCCTGGCGTGTGCAAACACGCTACAGCTGGCAGGCATTCGTGTTATGTTATTGTTACTGAAAGAACCCAATCCATCTCTTCACATGGACCTAGCTTTGCATCTGAGTGTTCTCTCTTATAAGCTGTGTGACTGAGGGCTGGTCGCTCACCCTCTCTGAACTTCAGGGGCCTCAAAGAGGCAACAATGCTACCTACTTGATTAGAATGAGTCGACATTCGTTTTAACACTTGCCACATGCCAGGGACTTCACACATAGGACTTACTTAATCTCTACACCCCATGAGGTGGGCACTTTATTATCTCCATTTGGTAAATGGGGGAAATGAGGCCCAGAGGGGTTAAGGGGTTTAGCCAGTGTCTCTTGGTTGGTCTGCAGCAGAGCCAGGGTTTGAACTCAGGCCGCTGGTCTCCAGGGATGTTTGAGACCATTGGATGTTACTGCCCAGCTCTCCTGCCAAGAAGAGGAACTGAGGCACCAAGCCAGGAGCCCACTCTTCAGAAAGAGACGGGCACAGGTCTACGTGGGAACCAACCGTCCGCCCATGCACCCCACACCCAGTCTGGTGACCTCACCACCCGAGGGAGGGACTAAGGTCTCGCACGGGGCTCGAAACGCAGGTCTCCCCAGGCAAGAAGGTATTTCATCCCAAGTCCGAGGCTCCTGGGCTCCCACCAGTGGGCACTCTCGCTGAGCAAATCCACGGCGAGTGAGGGCCCAGGTGCTGGGTGCCCAGCGAGATGACAGCACCCGTGGGGGACATCCTGCCCATGCTGACCCCCCCTCTGATCTTGGTTAGATCTGTGAGAGGGGAGCATCCTTATCTGGCTCAATGCCAAGGGCCCCACCCTCAGAGTATTTTGAAGGGCCAAAAAAAAAATCACACTTTTTCTTACACATGGCATTAGAGGAAGAAAGGACAGAACCAAAATTGTGGCTGTCTGACATCAGAATCATTTCTGGATGCTGTGTCTCCTCTGCCATGGGCTAGAACCAGCCCCAGGAACGGAGTGCGGCACAGGGCAGGTACTCGATAAATACTGAGTGGATGACATGAATACGAACACTGTCCTCCCCCACATTCCTGATTCTCCTCATCCGGGAAGCCCGCCTGGATCTGCCCCTCTCCCTCACCTGCCGGGCTGTGGCTGGAGTCCCCTGCCGCCCCACCGTGGCCCTGGCCCCAGCCCTCTGAGTCCCGGCTGGCTGAGCTCATTCGTGCCTCTGAGGCCCGGCGCACGGGTGGGCCGTAGCTCCCTCGCCCAGGAGCAGAGGCTGGCTCGGGGCCTGCAAGGAAAGGCATGAGATGAGTAGAGACAGGGCAATGGAGGGATGGGGGGGAAGGGCGCCTCTCCTGAAGTGGAAGCCAGGGCCGGCTGAACCCACCTGGCTTCTGACCTGGGGCCCTTCTGTCTTCAGCGTCACCTGCAGAGGGAGAAACATGACAGGAAGGACTTGGTGAATGGGACCTGGGGGGCCGTCCACCACTCCCAAGTCATTTTTAAAATTAAAACTCTCCCCTCCCGACCTTCCCTCCAGTGTAGCTTGTATTTGCAACGGCACCTATTTCCTGTGCACGCACAGACACGTGTGAGCACGCACAGGCTAAAAGCGACCCAGCTGGGATCACTGGCTCCATCCCCGTCCAGACGGGCTGCATTCTCTCTGTCTGATCTTCCCCAGGATGGGCCAAGCATGTCCCGGCCTTAAGCCCTCTGCACACACAACATTTCCAAAGGGTCTAGGGGTCCCTTCCACGACTCCAGTCACATGCGTCCCCCAAAGATCATCCTCGGAAAGCTCTTCTCTGGCCATTCCATCCAAAACGGAGCCTCCTGTCACTCTCTCCCCTTTGCCCGCCTCATGTTTATTCCCAGCACTTTGCTCTACTGGATCTTATGTTTTATTTGCGTTGGCAGTTTGCCGAGCACCTGCTTCTCCCACCAAAACTTCAGCTGCAGGAAGGTGGGGATCTTGGTCTGCTCCGAATGCCACTCTATCTCTAGGGCACAGGACACAGCCTGGGTCTCGTCTGCTCTGTGAGTGCTTGTTTAAAGAATGTGGAAAGCCCATATCGTGGACTTAACTCCAAATCTCTGGAAGACACTGACTTCATTCCAGTTTCAATAATGCCTAATATGGCAAGGTGTGGACAGACTATAATCCACTCCACAATCCCCCTATAAATGAACATTTAGGTTTTCCCAGTGACTTCCTGCCATAAGCAATGATGCAACGAATGTACATGTATCTTGTCTGTGCTCCTGTGTTGCTGTGAGATATGTTCCCAGAGAGGAGTTGGTGAGCCAAAGGGCATACGCATTTCAAATGTTAATGAATTCTGCCACACGACTTCCAACGGTCTGGAGGTGACACGCAGTCCTACCAACAGTGTAGAGAGCATCCGTGTCCCCACACGGTCACCAGCCCTGGATGTCACTCTAATGATTTCTTAGGTGTCCCTACACAATGCTGGTGATGCCATTTCTTTCTAGTGAAGTTAATGGGGGTTACAGCGACCACACCACCAGCGTTATCTGCTGTGTCCAGAGTTTATCTAGTTCATACCACTTACATGTGTGTGTGTCCGTGTACAGGTGACTAACGTATGTCATCAGCCACCACTTACTAGGGGCTGCGCTCTGCAAAGCCCTTTACATGTGGTGTCTCACTGGATCCTCAAACCCACCCAATGACTTATTAGGTGCTCCTATGGAAAGTTGCTCCTATGGAAAATAATAGAATAATTAACAAATGACAACACCAGAAACAACTCTGTGTTTTGCGTCCTCACAACTGTAAGCCTACTTTGGCCCCACGATGTGGATGAGAGACGCATCTCAGTGAGGTGAGGCCACTTGCCCAAGCTCGCGTGGCCAGCAAGTGGCAGAGCGGGAATTCAGATCCAGGGCCTCCTGTCGCCAGGCCTTCGAGACCTTGGCAGTGAGGCTACCCGACCTTCTCGGCCTAGAGGGAGCGGTGCTTCACAAGGAAGAAGGATGCTCCACGGATAGAAATGGGGGCTGCTCAGGGACGCAGGGGACACTGACCACGTGGTAATTCCCTGCAGGGAAGAGAGATCGCTCGGGCCTTGTCAGGGAGGGAGTGTTTATTGATGCCTTTTGAGTGCCAGGCCATGCGCTGGGCATGTTAGGAAGCTACAGGAGACACAGGGGGGCACATCAATTGTCAAGATCTTCCTCCCAGAGCCTTCATGCAGACCAGAAATGACCCCTCAGTGTGAAGCGAGGTTGCTGCAGGGGCTTTATCGGGCAGTCCTCGTGGGCTCATTCAGTTAATGTGTGTTCATTGTGGTTGCCCTTTTCTTCTCTGATGGTGCTGCCTCTCCCTTTTAATCATCACTTTAATAATTAATGCTGGGATAACAACGATGATACCCACAGTAGTGGTAATTTTCTTTTACTAATTTCCTTTCTATTCCTCTCTCACTTTTAATTAGTCCGATTCCAGATTTGCTGATGGCTGATAGAGGAAACATCAGGGCAAGGAAGGCTGCCTCGGCAAACCTCAATGCCCACCCCCTCAGGCTCCAGTGTGTGTTTTGGTTGTGAGAGTCTCTCTCCGTTCCTAACTTTAATTTCTACCTGTTGTACCTCTAAATGCTCCATCAAAAACGACAACAAAGCCTTTTGGAAGCCTGAGATTGTTGGAGAGTCCTCTGTGCGGCCTTGCTGGTGAGCTGCGGAGGTGACATGGGATTCCTAGCCCCCAGCCCAGAGGCTGGCTCTCCACCGAATGGGTGGAGACGCAAAGATATCAGGATGTTCGCCAGGTAGACCAGTTAACCGGGAGCTGTCCTTGGTTCTGAAAGTAGAAGTTTTGTTTTTTGGGGTGGGGGTCGTTTTTTGTTTTTGTCCTACCTCGAGGCGGAGCCCGGGCGGTGTGCGTGGGCTCGGGGGCGGGCTGCTCAGGGCCGGCGGGCTCACTGGTGGGCTGCTGGGCCTTGGTCTTCCTTATGGGCATCGGCTGGGGGAGGACCTGCTTGGGGAAGCCCTTGAAGAACCAGGCTCCAGAACGCTTCCACACCTTGGGGAGGAGAGGCAGCGGGTGGTGACGTGGCAGCCAAGCACGACGGCCCCCGCCTTCTCCAGCACCACTTTTGACCTCTGCTCCCTCCCCCAAGCACCCTGACGACAGCTGGCGCACTTTTCTTGCCAGGAGGCAGTCTTTCCCTACTTCTGTGGGATTCACACGCCACCCCTGACCACTCAACAGAGAGGGCCTGGCTGTCTACCCGTTTTCTTGATGGAGAAAGCTGGACATCACGAAGGTGTGAACTGGCATAAGGTTACACAGTCAGAGAGCGCAAGGACAAAGACTGGGCACCAAGTCTTCCAGCTCTTACATGTGACGTGCCGCCCCCTGCTACCAGGAAGAGAACTAGGAGAGGAAGAAGTAAAGCCCTCCAGCACCCAGGAGGGGTTCTGCCAGTGTTCACAGCTGAGCTGATTCCTTCCACGACCACCCCTTAAGGCACACCCTGACCAGGCCCTCCGGCTCCCACCTGCCGCCTTCATTCCTTGGTTCTAGAGAAGAAGGAGAATTGGATTAAAAAAAAAAGGGCCGGTGCACTAGACGCCCGACAGGACTAGTCTACTCACCTCCCTCTGCTCCAGGCAGATTCTGCAGAGCCACACAGGGTGCGGGCGGTTGTTGGAGGTCTCCACCCCACACTTGGTGCAGACGTTCTGGGGACAGAATACGGGCCAGTGCACACTCAGATACACTAGGCTGCAAGCTGCCAGTGATCGGGGCAGGTGGCTGGGCAGGTTGGCGAGGGAACCCCATCGTAAAGAGCTAGAACTTTCCTTCTCTCACTCCCTGTCCATGACCCAGGCCAGTTAGAATAAATTTTCAACCCGAGTCTTCATTTCCAATAACAAGGATGAGAGTCATTCCCAAGCACTGGATAAAGAAATTCTCCAAGGGTCCCTGGGGGCGGGCCTGAGTTTTCAGCATCCGTACCGGAGAGACAATTGACGTGATTTTCAAGGAGGAAAAGCTCTACATCCATACTGTTTATGAATTTATTTCTTCTTTCTTTTCAAGTAAATCTGAGACAGCCTAGGCTATGACTACAGTTTCAACGCTTCAGTGAAGAGGAGGAGGTTATCTGGGCAGACGCCGAGACTGTGTGACAGGATGTTGCACTTTTGGCCGTTTCCTGGGAGTCAAGGCAAGGAGACGAACCTGACGGATTGCCAAATTCTCATTCTTGGCTGCCTGCAGCAGACAAGGTTTTCTTTGTGTGTATGTGGGTTAGATCAGCCTTCCTCAATATTCCATCTAAATGCTAAACGGGACTCTAAGCAGGAGGTGCCAAGGGACATTATGGATGTCTCCAGGTGCACCGCTCTCCTGAATTCCTTTCCTGGGAGTCGGGCAGACCCAGGGACACAGTTCTGGACACTCTGCCCTGGAACTGTGCAGTGCACACAGCTGAGGAGAGGGTACAGGGTGGAGGAGCACAAGGAGACCCCCTCCCCCTTCAAGAAGGAAGGCTCTTGAAGCCCAGTGGTCCTGACTCAGCTGGAAAGGGGCTTTCTGAGTCACGTGTACTATAACTCAGGGTAAGAGAATGCCGGGTTAGTACACACATGTATAGATGTGTGCCCGACATACTCTTCAATGTGACATGGAACTTGCTAAGCCACAACCTGGATACCTGCAGGCTCCGCCACAGCTCATGTCCTACCTCAGTTGAGCTCCCAAGTTCATTCTGGATGGAGTCGAGCTCTGAGGGGACAGAAGGGCCACAGGGACTTCCATGGGAGGAACCAGGACCAGGGTTACCTTGGGAGACGGCTGGGCATGACAGTGTCTCTCAGGGAGTCACAGTCTGGCAACCCCCCTTCAGGATCCAAGTTCCATTCCCAAGAGCCAGAGTCCCCCCCCAGGGCTTAAACCCAGACCTAGCCTCTCCGAGTGTGAGGAGCAGGGATGCGGGGAAGAGGAGGGTGATGGTACCTTCTTACAGTCCTCACACACCACGCAGGCAGAGCCCGGCACCCCCAGCTGCTCTCCACACAGTATGCAGCGGTTCACCCCATCCCCAGCCACGTTCTTCCTCATGTTCTCCAGACGGTCCACCAGGCGCCTGGAAGCAGAGACAGGGCACTAAGGGCCTGATAGGACCGGGGACCACCGGCATCTCCCACAGGAACGGGCTGGTGGTCTTAACCTTCTCAGAGCCAGCACTCTTAGGTATCTGATGAGGACTCTTGGACCCTCCTCAAGAAATGGGCACATGAAGTCTGATGCATTTTCAGAAAATCATGGAGCCCCTCCCAGACCCCTCAAAGCCCATCTATTCTACTGACTTCCAATGAAGAATCTTATCTAGTCCTTTCTGTTTCATGTCACTTCTTCTAGGAAACTGCCTCTGGGCCCCAGGTCTGTTTATCAACTTGTCTGCATGACGTCTTCACTCGGACATCTTCATAGGCACCTCGAACCTGTGCATCTGCCTGAACTCTCATCCAGGCTGCTCCTTGCCTGACCCCCAGCACCCGTGTCCCCATTCTCAGAAAATGGTCCCACTGGCCACCAGCTTGCTCAAACCAGCATCTGGGGGCTTCCTTGAGCCCCTCCTCCCCTGATATGCATGGAGCCTACCTGAACCTGCTGTGCCTACCTCCCTCACATTCCTGGAACCCACCCACGTCTCTCCATCCTCACCTCAACCAAGCCACTGCCACCTCCCCTGGCTGACCGCAGTACCCGCCTCACAGTCCACCTTCTAACGCCCCTGGCCGCCCCAACCTGTTCTCCCCACCACAGCCAGGGCCCTAGTCCTAAAACGTGATTCTGACCATGACACTCCCACTCCACACTTGGAAAGCTGTAGTGGCTTTCCCTTCCACGAGGCCCTGTGACCGCATGTGGTCTGGCCCCAGGTGAAATGTCATATATCTTCCCCCTCTATGTCCGGTTTTCAAGGCTGTAGTTCAGTGGGTTTCCTAGTGTCATTATCCGGGCCTATGGGTCACCTGGGAGCTTCTTAGAAATGCAGATTATTGGGCCCCGCCCCAGACCAGCGGAATCTGAAGACTCTGAGGGTGGTGCCCAGCAATCTGTTTTCACAAGGTGTCCGGAGAGTTTGGATGCAAACTCAAGTGTGAGAACCATTGCTGTGGTTCTAAACACAGCTTCTCCAAGTCCCAGTCCTATCTGCCGCAGCACTTTGCACATTCTGTTCCTTGTGCCTGGAATACAGCCCCCCTTGCCCTCCCCCCACATTTTAGTTCTCTCTCTCTCTCTCTCTCTCTCTCACACACACACACACACACACACACACACACACACACTCCTGCACATTTCCTGGCTAGACTCCCCTTACCCTTCGGATCCCAACTGAAACACCACTTTTTCTGACCACCCGCTTCACGTACCCCAACACCACGTCTCCGAAGCTCTCGTCACGTAGGTAAGTAACTGTGAGATGATCTGCATTAAGGAATTAGTTTGTTGTGAGTTTGCTTCTGGCTGCCCCTCTGGAGGACAAGCTCTCCCAGGACAGGGACCTTGTCTGTCCCTTCCTTGCTGTGTCCCCAGGGCCAGCGCCTCCTGGTCCACTGTGAGTGTCCCTACAGGGCGGGTGAGTCACTGCATGGGTGAATGAGGGCAGCCCGCTTCCCAAGTCCGCTTCCAGCAACAGCAGGCTGGTCAGGTGACAGAGAGTGACTTAGACTTACATTGTGCTTACTCTCCACCTGACAGCCAACCCCAGGAAATAGGGAAGTTAGATGGCTTTTGCAAGGTCCTACAGCTAGAAAGTGGTGGAGCCGAAACCAGAAGCCAAGTTTACATCTTTGCAGGAACGCTTCTCAGACTTAACGCATGCATAAGTGCACATCTTATTCAGATGCAGATTCTGAACCGCCAGGTCTGGGTGGGGCCTGAGGTGCTGCATTTCTAGAAACCTCCCACGTGATCCCACACGCTGCCACTGGCCCCTGGCATACTCCGAATAGCAAGGCTGCCTAACCACCGCCCCTGAGCGACACCCCATTTGGATCTCAGGTAGGTTCTGGGGCACATCCCACCTCCTGGAAGTCATCGCCTTGCCCTTCCTTCAAACAAGACTGTATTGTTCCCGTTCCAGCCACAGCCAGGGGACCCAAAGGGAGCTGGACTCTGCCCTTCCCTCCACAGGCGGGGTCCCAGCTGTGGACACTGAGGGTGGGAGAAGCCCTGGACTGGGCCTGGGGCATTGCAGGCTCCAGAACGTCCCCAGCAGCCACCTGATGCTGCTTTTCCCCACAGGCCCTCCTGGCTCCCACCATGTTCTCCGAGAGCTGGGACTCGCGATGTTATAAATAGCAGGCTTTCCTTTGTGTTCCATTCAGCAGAGAGCTGCTCTGCCGGAGGAGGAGCCAAAAGCAGCCTGCAGGCCCTGCAGGCTGCGCGGTGACCCAAATCAGAGAGAGCTGCCTCCCCTCTTCTCTTTGTCCTCCCCCCTCCCTGCCCCTGCCTTTTCCCTAGAAATTGTTTTTATAGGATAATGGGCAGTGGCGGAAGTGACCAGGAGCAAGCCCCCAGTCCAGGGTCTCAGAACGCCTGGTGTAACAGCAGCGGAGGTTTACTGAGCATTTACTATGTGATCAGCAGGCCCCCTTGGATCTGATGAGTGAATCCTTCCAGCTGCACTATAAGCTAAGGGCTATTCTTGTCCCCCTTTTCCAAATGAGAAAACTGAGGCACAGAGAGGTTCGGTGATTTTACCCAAGTCACACAGCTGGGAGGTGGAGAGAACTGGGGTTCAGAGTCTGGCAGGCAGGCCCCGAGTCCCTGTTCAGAACTGCTCCGTGCGCTGCCAGGGTGCTCCATGCAGAGCCCTGGGTGCCCCCTGAGCACTCGCACCCCTGCCCGGCTCCATTCCCCTGCCTTCCTCATACCACAGCCCTCGGTCATCGGTAAGTACTAAGGTGCGAGCACCATCCCCCCCTCTGGGCCTGTCCTGCCCGCCTCCCCTCCCGAGTTTGGGACGAGACACCCAACAGCTGCCCCCTCATCTTGCTTCTCCAAAGAACCCTCAGCGTAGGGCCAAGAAATCTGGATTTTAGCTCAGGGTTTGGTCTCTCTGGAGGCCTTTCGATGCCACAGAATTATAAAAAGTATTATGAGACCATGAGGTGCGTTACTGGAGGCAGGGGCAGGGGGGTGGGTAAGGGCACCTGCGGCGCCATTTTGCTCGTACACAACCTTGTTCTCCTTTATTTTCTCCTTCATCCACTGTCTCAGCCGGAAAATGGTTAGATTTTTGTTCTTTTCTCAGTGGGGGTCCCAAAGCACAGAAAGGGGAGAGGGTTGTCTGGGGTCCCTCGGCCAGGGCTAGGCCCTAGTTCTCGAAGCCCCAGGAACCTCATGCCTCAAGTCGGGCTTCGCCAGCGGAGCTCAGGGAGGGACAGACGACCTGACTTTAAACAGCAATGCACTGTGTCCAGAGGGTTCTCCTGTCTCCTTTTGGTAAACGAGGGCCCTGGAGTTGCCCACCCCCTGCGAACCCACGTTCTAGCCTCTCTTCCAGACGCCTGCCTCTCCCACCCTTTAATCCTAAATGCAGAAATGGCCCATTAACCCGCGTTCTACTGGTAGTGTCTGGTTGGCTTCCGTCAGGGGCGGCCAACAGCACAGAAAAACAAGGCATTTCAACTCATCATTCCCATCTCCCCCCAGGGACCCTTGTTTTGGGGGGATTCAGTACAGACCAGTATAGAGAGGAGACGTGGGGTGGGGGTGGGTAGACCCTTATTCTCTGCTCGGAGACCCAGGGATGCCCTGCAGCCCCCGATGCTGGGGCCCCAACAGGGAGGCCCCGCCAGCCGAAGGGCAGAAACCGGGACAGAGAGCTCTGCGGGGAGGAGCTAAGTCACAATTGAGTCAAGACCACGAGTCACAGACGGGTCTTTACCCTGGAGACAGGACAATTCGGTGTCTGCACCCCAGAAGTCATGTTTGTTGTGTAGATGGGAAATGGGCACACACTGAACCCGATGGGCTCCGGGGAGGCCCACGGGGTGGCCCCACAAACTCTGAGACCTAAGGCACCACCCAGGAGGGCCTGAAATGAAAACTTCCCAACTAAAGGCAAGTCACGGGGGCAGTCATGTCCTAGGCCGCCATCTTCCCTGACGAAGGTCAACCTTGACCTTCCCTGAGCCTGTCAGTTGTCTCTGTGCGTCTAAAGTAACATCCCTTCCACACGTCTGAGTGACCCCTTTTCTCCGGGCCCCTCAGGGTGCCACCTCCTGCCACAGCGGAGAGCACAGGACCCCCCCAGTTCTACCTTGTCCCCCAAACACCATCTCTATGTGTGGTAAGGGGTCATTGTTAACTGCCCTGCACCCACCCATGGAAAACAAGCGTGCGTCTCTCCAGTTTGCTTTTGATGCAGTCTCAGAGGTCTCCCCGCCTTGCTTTCCCCCTAACCTGTCACCAGTGAATTTCACGTAACCCTCCTTACGCTTCCTCCTTTGATGCTTAATGCATAAAACAAGCTGTGAAACTGCCGTTCTCTGGAGAGTTTTCTCAACCCGTTGAGACTTTGCTTCCCAGCAGCTGCTGTCAGCTCGGCTCAAATCAACTCATGAAAGTTCTCTACAGGTCTGGATGTTCCTTTTGTCGACGGTGGTTACCAGTCCTGGCAGGAGAGTGCGGCACACGTCACGGAAGACGCTCCCAGCCCTCACTGCAGGTCAGTCGCCCGCAATGACAGAGTGCCCACGCGTGGGCCCCCACTCCTACCCTTCTCAGCCATGGGTCTGGCTAACCCTGGACACCAGTGTTTCAGCACACAGACCCCTTGGAGAGCCCAACATTTATGGAGCCCCTAGATCACCTGGGGAGAGCGTTCGACACTCAGACAAGGGTTCTACAGGGCAGGGTAGAGCCTGGGAATCTAGCTTTGAGGTGGCTTCCTTGGATGCTGGTGAGCCCCCAGCTGCACCTTGAGAAATGCCACAGGAAGGGAGGAAGCAGTGGGGCACATGGGAAAAAGCTCTCCTTATGACAGTAAATGGGTTTTAAGAAACCCCAAACCCATGATGATACAGAATTATTATCATGTGAGCTTGGGTTTGGAACATGCACATCTGA